CAGCAGCCACCAGTGCGCGCAATCTGAAGGGAAATATAGGAGGCCCCCACCCCCATCGGCACGGGGTCACATTGCAGACTTCACCGTCTCCATGGGCGGCCAGGTCCACCCCAGGGGCCGACGGAGCCTCACTTCCCCCACGATCGCCTACACGATATAAGATGCCCTATCCCAACAGTAAGGCGCCCACCGAAGACGGCCGTCGGGTGAAGGGCAGAGACCTCAACGCTGGCAGTGGGGCGAGCGCGAAGGAGTTGACCAGCTGGATGAAACTCGCCGGTTGAAGCTCCTCCATGAGGGCACCGCACTGAGTGGCCACAGATGCAGAGGACAGCAGACATGTGACAATAGCAGCAGCCCTACTCCGCATTGAGGGTAGGACAACAGGTCGTACTGGTAGTCGGCACATACCCTGGCCGCTACCTCAACGATCTGATGAGGACGCTGGGGACACTATAGGCCTCAAGGCCTACCTCAACCAACTGTGAGACATCACTAACCCCTTTCTGATAGTAACCAATGTACGGTTCGCACACCGATGCCCGCATGTCCGACGCGCATCGTGTCCGGTCTACCCCAGCTGCCACTGCTGTCACCAACGCCTTCACTAACAGCGTGCTGCCTCTCTCTAACATATGATAACCCAAGGCTCTCCTTTGCAATGCGGATTCATTGACTTCAACACAACGACCATAACCATTATAGAAAGCGTACGACTGTGCCCACCCCTCGAGGAGAAGGAGAAGGAGGCCACCATGGCACACTTCAGTTCACGCCCATCAAAGTTCGCAGGAAAGCGTCGTCCTAAAGACAAACTGCCAAAGAGGGAGTCACTAATGTCCAACCTCAGGACCAAGTGGGGCATGTACACGCCGACTGACGTGGGGTGGCGGGTGGGGCATACGCCTCCTAGCATGAGCAGTATGATGATAGTCCTCTTTGTCCCTAGTCGCGAACGGAGAACGGCCCTCCAGCTGGTTCACCGTCTGAGGACTGCTACCGACAGCCGCCCCCACGGAGCCTCACATGCTCGTTGGTGAGGTGCCGCCACACAATTAGCCTCCAGATGGCCCAGGGAACCTCTACCGTACCATCAGGCAGGTCGATCTCGAAGGCCTACCAAGAATCCCTCCCACACTCGGCAGGACCCCCCCTACATCATGGATCTCCATTGCCAGCTCAGTAGGAGTGCAGTCCCCCGCCTTGGCTGAGTCAATGAGCCCCTTCAGCGACAGTCCCCCCGCTGGGCCCTTCAGCTTCTGTCACACAGTCGGAGCTCACCCTGACCGGGCAGCCCACCTTGAAAGCAGTCAAGGCCGTGAAGTCCGCTATGAACCGGAGGAAGCCATAGTCAGCAAAGAGCATCCGCATGAGCTCGAACTCCCTCATCTCGTTCTACCAATGAAAACCAGTGTGGAAATTATGCACATAGTCAACCACATATGTTGGTAACAATAGCAAAATTCTGAGAGAATTTTGGGAAATTCTTATTGATTTCTGAACATTTCTACCTGGCTTCGTATACAAACTCCTAAGCTTAGCTGCGGAAAGCGAACATATATTCCAACTCTGTTGAGCAAACAGTTGAGTCCCCACATCCGAGAGCTGCCCATCACTATCAGTATCCAGGAATTGGAAGGCGAACCGTGCCGACTCTATATAAGGCGACTGGAGGGCCCCAACACGGGCCTGAGGGGAATCTTCTCGTGCCCTCAATCTGATCCCTATCGACCCACCATGAAGCCATTGAGGGTCCGATCATCCTCAATGGCCGCCTCCTGTAGGAAGGACTGACCAGCCCCCGTACCGGTGTTGACGATTTCATAACCAAAGAAGAACTCCCTATAGAGGAGCTCCCTCAAAGACCGTCCCCCGCCGACCACCCGCAGAAGACCGATCTCAGCTTCGGACAGCTCACCTACCGAGACACTTCCATAGTGACGACCCAGGTTCAATCCCCACCGTCGGCATCGAAATCCAGACGCTGTTCCACCAGCTTTATTTCATCCGGCGACAAGCCTTTCACTGCAGCCCTATACCTTGCAGCATACTCGCTCGCTGAGATCTTCACTTCTGGCAGAATCCTCAGAGCCAGAGCCCGCATATGTGGTCGGGCCTGGGCCACGAGATAACCCCAATGCTGCCACTCAGCTCGACTAATGCTGCTGTCACGGTCGAGGTCGAGGAGGGCAAACAACTGAAAAAGGCATGCATGAGGAGGATCATGCTTCGTTGCACAAGGAGACATGCTCGAAATCTCAAAATTCCTCAACGTCAAAGCTCATACCACTCCTCCGTCACTTCACAACCGAACGAGGCTGCACGCAGACACATATTAATCGGTGTGATAGTTCCTTCATGGTTCTATCATTGATATGATGAATTCCTATTCTGACCTCCCATATGGAGAGACTATGGATCGGCCTACTTACCTTGTTACGCTTTGGCCCTGACTCAATGCAAACACCCAACATCTTATTAACCACTCTGGGCATTGAAATCCTCATTAATCTCCGACTGTGAATTTAATCGTTTGCGAGTCAACTGGATGCTATGTTGATCATTTCAACTAATCATTATGTGTTGCACACGAGCTGTTGTATAGTGCGACGAAAAGTTGAGCATTTCTAATAATGTTCACTCGAGGCATAACAACTCACCATCGTTCCCGCAATAGACTTCCTCCACTCCCTGGTTTCAAGCTCCTCTCTGGTCAGTTTACCATCACCGTCCATGTCAATGGCATCGAACCTCGCCGCCATACTAATGGCCCCGAGGGAGGCCCCCAAGTCATATAGGTAACTACACCAGCTATCAGCAGCACCACAGCAGAGGCGACCGAGGCCTACCCGCCTCGCCTAGCCGTTACATACGTGTCCAGAAATTCAACCGGCAGAGTCTCCCCTACAGGGAAGAGGAGGGCCCCAAAGGACTACAAAGGACCTCTCATCCCCACACTCAATCTAAGGGGGCACCTTAGCCTCAAACCAATCCCCTGCAACCTCCGCATGTCTGCCGATTTCCTCAAAGGTCTCTTCGTCCAACCTGTTGACGCCAGGCTTCAAAAGCGTTGATAAATTCCGAGTGAAATCGAAGGAACTCGGTAGGAAACCGGCCAGTCGTGGTCCTGCAGCCGCGACCCTTATAAAGCCAACGTTGCGCTTCTGACCTGCCACACGTCAGTAGCATCACCCCCATCTACCCTAGGGGGCCCACCAGTCTCGTCATCAAGGAACGCCCCTGCTTCCTCTCGGGCACCTGGGTACCTACCAGCCTCCGCCATGTACTTCTCTATGAACTCCTCGTTGGTGGCCTGCCTCGGTACCTCTCCCATGCTGACAAGCCAACGCATCCAGTCCCCCCACCACAGCAGGCCTCCTCCTCCTCACCCCTCCAACACCACAGCCACCGCTGGGGGTATGGTGTCCGCATCCACCCGAACGAGCTTCTGCCAGTTCCGTCGGGCAATTGACGACTGATTGAGACCATCGGCCACGTATAGGAAGAGCTCCCCAACGGCCATCTAAGCACATGGCTCCACTGACTGCTCCGCTCCGCCCAACCTACACATTCCTCTTCCGATACCGTATCGGACTTGCACTCGCCACACCCAAACTCCGGCAACGAGATCAAGCCGTCTCGATCGAGGTCCAAGTCGGTGAAACGCATCTCCATCTTGATAGAGTCCAGAATGTGGAATACCCTTGCCAGGTTCCTAAGAGGCCCCAGTGACCAACATGCTAGACCGGGGCCGTCCCCACCGGACGTCTTTGAAGCTACGATAAAGGTCAGCGTAGTGGCCAACTGGCAGCTCCGAGGCGTCCTTGCCGGCCATAAGACTGAACACCTATGCGGGAGCGTATAAAGGGCTGTACTGAAGGGGTCCACCTCCTTAGTATAAGCCTGACTGACCCCAAGCCGTACACCAGTCTGTTGGAACTCCTCGACCGATACCGTGCCTCCTAGGGCTTGCCCAGTGACCTTCTCAAAGCCTTCCGAGGGATACTCCTAAGAGGTGATGACGTCATCTGCTGTCACCCCTCCATCAACAGGCCTACGTGCATTGAGATGCTCCATGTGTTGTTGTCTCTGCTCTGGTGGCCCCCCTGGTGGTCAGCCCCATATTCCCCACTTTTATCCTCCTCCTCCCACTCATCGACCAGCAACTCCTCATCACCCGCATTATCAACGGCCGCCTCCCTTCCTTCTCTCACCCCAGCTGCCCCCGACCTGGGGGTAGTGCCCTCCCCTGCTGCATCCTGAATTGGGGCGTCCCGACGAGGAGGTTCTTGGCCCGACTCCACAGACTCATTTGAAACTCGTTGTTCTTGAGGACTCTCACTGTAATGGTCCCCTGCATGGTCCGGCTTCACCTCCTCAACGGTCTCACTGTAATGATCCCCTGCATGGTCCGGCTTCACCTCCTCAACGGTCTCACTGTAATGGTCCCCTGCATGGTCCGGCTTCACCTCCTCAACGGTCTCACTGTAATGATCCCCTGCATGGTCCGGCTTCACCTCCTCAACGGTCTCACTGTAATGATCCCCTGCATGGTCCGGCTTCACCTCCTCAACCGCGTCTCTGTGGTGGTCCCTTCCAACACCATCAATAACCCCTTCCTCGTGCCGTCCGTCGCCCATACCCTCCGCTGCGGCCATCAATGCGGAGGCCTCCGACGCCAAACTCCCTCGTGACGGCTGAGCCTCGGCAATACCACCACCGTGTTGTTGATCAGGGGCCTCCCTCACGCTTCCATCGCTGCCCTGTTGATGCCTCCTTCCCTTCCTCCTCTTCCCCTCCGACCGCCGGGACCACTGCGAATGATGCCCCTGATAACGACAGTCCCAATTGCGAAGACCCATCGTCCATCTCCATCCTACCTTCCTACGGCCATGGAGGGCACTCGGACTAAGCACTTGATAGACCTGAGCCATCCATGACCTTACCGAGCCGACCATGCCCTCACCGAGTCCAGCTCCACGAAGGCTCCTTCAGCATAGCCTTCCGTTAGCACCTGCACACCTCGATAACAGCCGGTCGACGGTGGACCAGCTAACCCCACCACTTCCGAGCTCCTGGCCTCCTCCAAGAAACTGCTGGCCTTGGCCTCAGTGATGGTAGCGAAGCCGTGATGGAGGAGACTTTCAAAGAGGAGGAGGAACTCTGTTTGATGCAGAACTCGGAGACCAAGAATCTCCCCTCGGCTAAGCTCACCTACATGGAAGGGCGCTAATGCTCCAACGGCCCCGCGGAGGCCCTCACCATTGCCATCCAGATCGAGAGCATGGACAATCTTCGCCCGGACCCGAGGGGACTTCACTCGTGCCAACACTGTGGAGAACTCCTTCACGAACTTCTCCGGGGTGGCGGCAGCCGACCGTGGAATACTGCTAAAGGCGGCATAAACCCCTCCCCCCATCAACACTCACCTCAATGCTAGTAGCTTCACAGCTGGGCCGACCGCGAAGTGAAAGGAGAACCTCTGTAGCCCCTCTCGAGTTATACCCCTCTGGTCGCCCTCACCTTGGCCGAGGACCTCCAGGACCTGTCCCAGCAACCCTTCCTGACGCCCCCTCCCCCCTAGGACCTACCGTCACGAGGCTGACCAAAGGGAAATTGCCCATCCAGCGTCGGAGCTCATCAGCACTCAGCTTGCCGTCCTTATTCCCATCGAATGCCGTAAAGAAGGCGTCCGTGTTTACCGCAGAGAAGACCGCCAGAAGCCGCCGTAACCGCCTGCGTCACCACGAAATTATCTCCCTTACCCTACCACCCGCTGCCCCCTCACTTGTGGCGGACGGCGTTCATCCACACCTCCACAGCCTCCCTCGGTATCCTCCCGTCCCACAACTGGGCCAGCGACTCGAAGCTCTGACCGGACCATCGACGACGATGACGACCGAAGAGACACACGTCCCACCTTATGGGAGAAGGCCCGACGGTTGGCCTGCAGGCCCAAGCCCATCTTGGTGAAGTCCCCCTCGGACCATCCAACGCCGATGTCAATCTTATCCATCACATAAGCTGACTGTGGCAGATACTTGGCCACCCCTTGGGGCATCGACAAGACCCTCAGCATGGCAATTTCACGATGGTCGATGTAGCCTGAGGACGGTCCCTCTCTATCGCCCCATGCCCCCAGCCTACCATCGTCATCAAAATCAAGAAGCTCCCCTATCTCGGCGCTCTCAAAACCCGTGAAGCCCTCCATGGCCCGCATAGCTGCAGCAACATAGGCCTCTACCGGGCCGTCCGCCTTAGCTTGCACTCTGAGCAACGACCACAGCACCCGAGAGACACCTCCCCCCCACTTACTTCTGAGCCAATAAGATCGCACTAGCAGGGACCGTGTCCTCTCCAAAGCCAGCCAACCTCTGAAGCTCGCCCAAAGATAACGTGTTGGAGCCGTCTAGGTCCACCACAGCAAAGACCTAACCCCATACAGCATCCCGAGATCATAATACACAGAAGGAGAGGGAACGAAGTAATTTGGAAAGCTAATCGTTGCACAGACAACATCAGTTACGGGAACTCCTAAAGATCATCAGCCCCTGAGAGGCCCTTTACCCGGGCCAAGCAATTCAGCATAATCAGGAGACTATCAAAGCCACATTTCCAAATAGGCTCGATACCACACCCTGACCAAACCTCACCGCTCGATCAGCTGCTCCCAGCCCCAGCTCCTTCAACGAGAGCTCTCCATCACCGTTGGCATCCAACTCCTTAAAACGTCGGCCCAATACTAGAGAGTCCAAAATGAGATGAATGCGACGGTGATTCCTGAGGGAAAGCGATGGATGGGGTGATATTAAAAGGAGTTTTCAAAATCGTCAAGCTCTCTCAATTCCCCAGGGGGCGTTCGGCGACTTTTCCTAACGATATCAGAATTGTTACGACTCCCCAATTAGTCATAAATAAATCATTACCACACTTCTAATAAGAGAGTCTAATACTATAATATCTTCGCAACCTCATCCGTATCAAGCACGGAGCAACCTAAGATATCTTTGCGCGGTCACTGAATGCCCTTCTAGAGGACAACAGCGCCTACCACCAGGCCCCTCCTCCTCTTACCTAAGGTCCTTCGATACAGCATGCAACACATCACTCTTGGTAGACAGTAGGTCCTCAGCGTCTCGACCAGAAGGATACTCCAGAAGGTCGTAGGCCTGCCATAGGCATTCCAACTCGTAGGCCACACAGTGACCCCCTCCTCACAGTCCGAGAAAACACAGCGGTTGGGGCCTTTATAGACTTGCCGAAATCTGCAAAGTCCCTAGCACTGACTCGAGTCGTCGGCGAGAGCTTTCTCAGACTGTACTCCAATGGCAGCCGACTCCACTGAGCACATTAAACCCTTACAAGAGCCGCGCGAGGAGGGCTAGGACCCATGACCTATGCCCACCTGCGGTCCTTCCTCGAGAAAGGAGGAGGTCGGTCCATGATGGTGGTGGCGGTGATGGTGATGGCCTCGGTGGTGTCGCCTGTCCCGGTGATCCGCACCCAGTGCTTTCGAGGTGAGTCGCGGGCGGCGACCATAACCCAGATAGAACTCCGTGGCCACCAAGTTGTTCATCTCGTTACCACCAGCCATGGCTCGCAGGAGGCCGTAGTCACCATCCGAAGGCTCACCTACACACCACCTCATTCCACCATCCCTGAGGGCCACTACTCACCTGCTCCTAAGGAGTCCAGAGCCCCCTTGATAACCGGCACATACCTCTCGGGCATGCTCCCTAGACGCTCCTTAGCCCGAGTCACAAAAGGCTCTACCGAGTATGGCAGGAGGTTGTCCCCCACCCTATGTGCCACCCTGAAGAGCAGGGACCGCCACTCCCCCCACGATGGGCCAAGGCCGCCGCCTACCACAAGGCGAACCGGCGGACCAGCAACGGCGCCCGGTGGATGATCACCAGCCTTTGCCATTCATAACGAGACAAGACGCCGTCCCTGTTAGAGTCTAGGTAGAAGAAGAGCTGAGGAAAGACGGTGGGCCGCCCCCCAGTGTGGTCACGGCCCCATTACAGCCTCCCCCACTGGGCCTTTCCAGCCGATGTCTTCCAAAGAGAGGTCGTTGTGGCGGCCCCCATCCAGGTCCGAGAAACGGCTCTCGAGGGTGAGGGAGTCCATCACCAACTGGACCGCCTTGTCCGCTATCGAGGCACTCAATCTGACCAGACCACCACTCATGGCAAGGAGAACTCGACCACTGTTGCCTCCCCTGGGCGATGGTCCTATACAACTCCTCAAAGTCCTGCACTCGAACACTCTCCCCTTCTTCCTCCGACAGCATCCCCTCGAAGGCCTGAAGCACTTAGGCTGAGTGTGAAACCCGAATGCTTGGCCCCATTGACTGGTCGGGACCAAAGGCCCAAAGCCTCTGAGTTCGGCCCACCGATCAGTCCCTGCCTACCTCCCTAGAAAAGACGAATGAGGGTGCGGCAATGGTACGGCCAAAGGCTGTGAACTCGTCAAAGGAGATGAGACCGTCCCCATTGGCGTCCATTAGGGCATAGATCTCCGACGGGGCCTCTCGGAAGAGCTGACCGATGCTCCTCACCACGACCGACTCAGCAGCTTCCTCACCGAGACTAGGGTGTGCTTATCTGGAGAGGTCAGGAGGAGGATCCACGAGTCCAGTATGGTGGCCACTCCAGCACGGAAGGAGGCGAACCGAGGAAAGACTGACCACCGCCACGACCAACAGTATACTCCCACATGCACTGGGATAGTCCTACTCTCACTGACGTGCTTAATGGCATTCCGAAGACCCCTCATGGTCCTGATGGGCCCTATGTCCCCTTCGAAAAGACCATCCTTAACAAACCGAGCGAAGGCCCTCGTGTTAGCCGTGCTCGGGTACTTGCCGTAGAGCTGAGGCCACCACAGGCCCGGGAGAAGGAGGAGGGTCACCACCTACATGCTCCATCTTCTCCCTCAGCCCCTCCACCGTCGAGAGGGCCACCTTGTCCACCCAGGTCAGGGCAGTCTCCAGAGCCGGCTCAGGGAACTGACCCACAACATAGTCATCATCAGTACCAATACAAGACCACTGCCCACCCTCCCTATGTGGCCCACCACGAAGTCCTCCTCCTGCGGGGCCAGCACATTCCTATACTCTACCGCATGAGGGACTCCACTATGTCTGAGAGGAGTCATCACCTCCCTCATCACCCAGCCCACCTTACTCCTCCCCAGCCTCCATCGGCCTACCACTCCGGTTGAGCTGTGTTGGCAACATCATCATCATCGACGGCACACTCCTCCGTCTGGGCCTACCCAAGGGAATCTGTCCCCCACCTCTCACCCCCCACCTACTCCCTAGGCCAGGATGCCTCTGCCGTGGTCACCACCGATACGCTGCTATGAGGAGGTCTAGTCGGCAGCCTGTAAGGTGAGCCCACCGCTGAGGGCATCTGGAGGACCATGGCCCTAGGGGGATGTGGTGCCGGCGGATGGAAGAGGATACGGGGTTGGAAGGGATGAGGGGCGAACAGAGGAGCATAGTGGACCACCCTGAATGTGATGACGAGCTCAGCTGACGGACACACGAGGGTCCTACCCCGCCACACGCGTTACAATGGGCATCTTGAATGTGCGCTGACCCGGGGTAAGCCTATACGGCAACACCGGTGACTTCACTCCACCCATTGTAGTAGCCATGCCCTTCAACTCGCCACTCCGGACCCTCGGCACTCGAGAACCGGGCTGAGGCTGCGATGGTTGCCCAACATCAGCTACGTTGGGGGACCATGGCTGGTCCGCGGAGGACCCCTCCTCCTCTGGTGCCCCCGAAGGGTCTTCCCGGGCCCCTTCCTCTGGTTCGGGATCTCTCTCCCCCATGCCGGCTCCCATCTCAGGTTCACGGCCATCCTCGTCCATCCCATCGGGGACCACAGGGTTCAAGGGTGAGTCCTCCTCAGGGGGCTCCTCCTTACCAAATACTGCATCCATCACTCTGTCCTCCGGGCTCTCTCCATCAGAGATCCCTGGTTCGATTCCAGCCTCGGGCATTTCATCTACCCTCCCTTCAGGCCCATCATCCACCTCCGGCAGCCCCTCCTCCTCCTCCCCATCCTCTCTACGACCCATCTCCATCAGCACACTTGGCTCACCGCCGTCCTTCTCCTGGCCATAATGGGCCTTCACGATCTCACCAAACAGTGCACTCTGAGTAGCCTCTCTATCCCATGCCATCTCCGGTGGGACCAAGGCCTCTCGAGGAGTTGCCCTGGTCAGGACCCCGAGCCCATGACAATAGGAGTAGAGGACCTACAGCCCACCACTACTCCCCCCACGCTCAACCCCAACCCACCCGCTTGGTGTTGTAGGTGACCCCACCAAGGCTGCGGACATCATTAACTCTGATCACACTTTTAATACCAGCCGCGGCCAGGTGCCTCCTCAGGTCCCTCAGGTCGGCCAGGACGTCCATATGCGGTCGGAGGCCTCCACCATTGACATCAGTGTAGATGGTGAAACTGAAATCCCATCATGCCCCGTCTCTTGCCTGAGTGCCCATCACCTGACCAAGCTCCCGGCAAAGGTGTGGGCCACAATGGTGCCTCGTGGACTGGTGGCTACCGTCATGTCCTCTCCAGTGACCCCTACCACACCACCATCACCATCCCCCCTGCCGGGCCTAGTCAGCCTACCGTTCCTAAAGGTCAGATCGAGGTCCTCTGACAGCGCCTGCCGCAATACAGTGTTAACCTGTGGAGAAGCCCTCCGAACGACCCACAGTAACCGACCACCGACCCTATCCCGGAACCCCAGAGTGGGCTCAGCATTCAGGATCTCTATCTCTCCCTCGACCTCCATGGGAGAGGCATCCAGAGGGCATCCCCGGAACACGTCCAGTTGGAAAGGAGCCTCCCCAGTCGACGGGGGTATGAGCTCGTCCAAGCATTCCTACATGATCCTTCCAGGCCCTCCACCATCACCTCTACCCTACATGCAGGGCCCTATAGGCCGTCCTGACCATCTCCTCGTGCTGCTCTGGTGTGAGCCCACTACCAACAGGGACGTGCATCGGCTCGGTCTGAGGTAAGCGTCAACTCATCCAGAAGGAGGCCGTACCGAGAAGACCAGCTGGGCAAAGAGGCCATCCTTAGCAACATCTCGGATGATAGTGTAGACAGGATTGAAGCCAGCAGCCGCCAGAGCATTGACCCTGTAGCCGTAGGTGCACCATCACCTCCCCTCATACAGTGGGTCTCACATAGCGTCCTTTATACCATCCATCGAGGTCCGACTCCTCGGGTCCATCACCACTGGGTAGGGCAGCCTGACCTTCCCCATGACCACCTGCCATACCATCACCAGTGACGAGGACCACCACCTTCCGGCCTACCGCTGCTGTGGTGAGTTGCCGATGGGAGGCTGTCTCGGAAGCTACGATTGAAGAGGAGGACATGGCCAGGGCGCTGGTCAGCTCATAGAAGTGGCTGGGCTGGATGCTCTCCAGTAGGTGGGGGCACTGCCGGGACCAACAAGGAAGTTTCACCGCGCCACGAAACTATCACTCACCCCGCAAGTCGATGATGACGATGCGTAGAGCTGCTCAGCACAAACGTTCTCCACAGCAGAAACGGCCTAAAGCCCCAACGACTACACCCAATGGGCCCTTCCTCTCCCCACCCAAGACCTACATGGACCAACCCGACCACGCTGGTCCCTCCAGTGGCCATATAGTCCTCGAAGGGTCTACACACTGTGGACTCCATCGATGCCCGACAGTCGGCATCCGAGTGAGACCCCACTACAGAATCACCAACCAGGGCCACTACGAGCCCACAAGCCTTGGTTATCATGAGGGTACAATCTAACTATTCGTTGGTCCATGGCGTCGATCCCCTACTTCTTGGTATTGACAACTCAAACTCAGGAAATATCCCTCTAGAACAGTGGAGAGTGTGAGTCTAGTTGAGACCACAAGGATGGAGGGAGGCTGGGCAGGGCCACGGCCCAGGATCACGACGAAACAAACAAGAGTAGTGCCAGCAGCATCCATTCACAACCGCGGTCAGTACTTCACTTACCTCGACATTTCTTCCCAGCCTCCCACGTCTCGTGTGTGAAACTGCCAAATGGAGAGCAGAGACGACAGGCACGAAAGGACACATCCGCTGCCGACTAGTGAATATAACTTCTCCATCCACGAGGGACCCTATGGGGCCCAGCAAATGCACTGACCACACGATGACCTATGAGGCCTACTGCCGTCCCACCACCCCTCCAGACGACGCACAGCAACTCCCAATTGAGACGGTGGATTCTCTAGGCCTGCCAATTCCCAGTCATGATTAAACCGTCGCGCGCCACGAAATCTTCCAGAGCCTGTCCTTTCCACACCATCTCCAGCAATACACATAAGAGGGCATCCCTCCATACGGTCTACAGCCACTACAAAGAGGAGAATAGTGAACCCCAACACTTCCCCTCTATTGACGTCATGAATACAACAGTAACATAGTGGAAACAGTCAATACCACCACCAACGACGACGACGATGCACAGTATCCTACCCTACACGATACGCTCTAGGTCCGTGGCGTAACCTGTAGGGAAAAGGGGACCATCCAACCGTAGTGACGGGAACCAGCCCTACCTATCATATTGGATATCAGGTCCAGTGCAGGCATGGCTGAGGCATCATCACGTATCTTCTTGAACACAAGTCTGAACAATTACCATACCACACCATCGCCACATCGTCCTCTCAATTACCTGTCACCCTCTACAACCCAACGAGTACTCAGCCTGTTCCTCAGTCTAGCTTGAGCTGGAGTCGATGGATCCTCCAATTCCAGCGTTGACAAGTTGGCTGAGGCAAAGCATAGTTCCACAGTACCCTCCCCCACCAGTACCCTCATCAGCAGCCTTCCTGTCATTCTCAGCCTTGGCGAACAGCTCCAGCGACTTCCTATCCTTGGGGTCCATCAGCAGCATCTTACAAGCCGTCTTCGAGTTGAGTGACGTGTAGGCTCTCTCCAAGGAAGAGGCTATTTTAATACTGAACGTAGGACTACTATCACGAAGACTACCATCACGGTGGACCCAGTTATTACCGAACCTGGTTTACCACACTTTGCAGTAGGAGCTCTGAATGAGGCAGATCCTTTGCCGCCTGTGATACACATGCCTTCAGTTTGGTACCGTTACCCTCCATGATGCACCTCTCAACAGCAACCTGACAGACACCAAGGTGCGCAGCCTCCCTCAGCGAAGGGCGTGGTACTGGTAGCTGGCACTGAGGGGTCTTGGTGAGGGCCTCAGGCAACTGCTCCAGCTCGGTGTGGAACTCCCCAGTACGGTCAGCACTCTGAGGCATGATGATTGTGTGCATGATGGTAGTAGTAGCAGTAGTACCAATAGGAATAGGAGGTAGAGGCCCATGATGGTGGCCGTGTTTGGAGAGGCAGTGTGACTGTCTGGATTCTCGAAATAATATCGGCGGAGTTGGGTTACTCTCCTCTCAAACGCTAAGTGCAGAGAAGGAAGGTATTCGACAGACAGAGTCGGTCAGAGAGGCAACTCTGAGTATTTCTGGCAGAAGTGTGGTATACAAAGAGAAAGGTAATGTTACGATGTAATACTTGTTAGTAGCCGTACCCAGTGTCCTACCTCCCAAATCCCCAACCTTCAGAGCATCAACAGCAGCAGCCTCCAAGGTCCCTCTAGCCCACTTCATAAACTCATCTGAGATATGCTTACTACCCTATTACTACTACTACCACTACCTTGGGTCTTTATCCCAAGTTGGTCTCGGGCCTTAACGATCTCGTCGGTAGGCGTGAACCCAAGGGCCAACATCGCTATCTAAGGCAGGATCCTTGAGGATAGCAGCAGAGCGAGGACCGAGTCGACTACCTCCGCTTTGTCTATGGCAACAGCAGCAGCCATACTGTAAAACTTTGTTGTCAACTCTACAATGTCAGCTGATTTAGACCCTCACTCGCCACAAAACTACGCGCGCGCCCGAGAGCATATTTGAATACGCGTGTGCAGGACGGAGATGCTATGTAGAAGGTACTTGGATCGTGATCAGTTTGATTGCCCCTCCAATGAAAGCTCGGATTAATCTACGACGGAAGAGCGTCGGCACGCCCATGGCCGCCACGCAAGCAGCTGTCCCTTCACTAGGTAAGTCCTCCTCTTCTTCCTGATGGGTTGATGATGGGTCGTAGGTCCCAATGGTGGGTATGACCCTAGTGCTGGGTCGAGGACCATAACCTTGTCCAGAGATGATCAGGAAAGGAGACCACAGGCCTCTGCACAGGTAACGGGGGTATTGACTGATCGAGAGGGTCTTCACCGGTTTACGGTACCATTAAGTACAATAGGGGTCTTACCTTAGACGGCTTTGGTGCGTAATGGCCATAGTGGGGCGAACGAGGGGACACCTCCTATACGATCGACAGCCAAGCGTCGTCGAGAGTCTGTGGTAAGGTGTAGGAATATGCCTATATGGAGATTTGGTCCGATCCTTAGACCAAGTGCAAGACCCTCTTGGGTGGTCCACCATCGGCCAAGGCGGCCAAGCATACCCCGGACACCTCTGATGAAGGCCATAGTAACCACGACCAACTCTCGATGTCTCTGGTAGGTGCCCTTTCGTATGGTAAGGAAAGTTTGACCTGTACAGCTCTTCGACAACCCTGAGGATGGCGGACGGCGGTTGTCAGTGGGTCGTGGCAGCTCTACGATTGGCCATAATCACACGGATAAGCTACCAGGGAAGGAGGCTGAGAGGGAGGACAAGGAGATGATGATGATGGATTGGAAATCTAAGTTCACTGTAGGGAGGTGGACGGGCTCATCCAGACGTGCAGTTTATGCAACTTTCACACCTTCAATTTTTTCTGCATGTCTCAGCCGGGGGAGATAGTTATAATACCACGAAGTGAGAATAGACTGCATTATGGTACGGTAGTCGCCGTGGACGAGAAGCTTGTCAGTGTGGACTTGGGAAACAGTATGGTCAAAAGGATGCCTACTCTGTTGGTGGGGAAACTGAGTACTACCAGAGGGGAATTTCGTGGCGCGCGACATAATATTAGGTGATCCGTCAACGCCGCATTCGTCGGATATAATGTCTAAGGCTAAGACAGTGATGCATACAGTAGAGGCCATCAGCCACTACCTCCTCACTTCGGCCAAGTTGAAGAAGCCTATCGATGATAATGTTAGGTGGTGTCTCGTGGGTTGGCTCTCTTCAGATCACCGTCCTTGGTAGGAACCATTGTGTCTTCGTTCTGACCTATCAAGCTCGCCGCCTATTCGCATTGCTGACCAAGCAAGAGCACCATTATAGCACTAGGGCAAGCGATAATATGGTGTTGATATCAGCCAGAGGTGGTCCTCAGTTGTCCCACGAAAGCCATTCGATGGACGCCCTGGTGAAGGTGCGTAACGACCTGGGTAGCATGACTGGCACTATTGACCGCTTCTTGGCTCGAGAGCAGAACGGTAGCCAAGGCAGTGGAGGGGGAGGGTAGCGGTGGATGGTTTCATTTATACTGTGTCAAGCGAGTTTCAAAATTAGTGTCATCAGAGAAGTTATTGAGTTGGAGTACTCATCTGTGGCGATGCCTGTGCATCAGTACCTTATGTCTACATTGGGAACGCCAGTAACGATTCATCTGTAGGTGAGGGGCGGCCTTGGGGTTATGGGGGCTTCACAGTTACGATTTGACGGCTCCATCAGTAAATACGGTGTTGTCGGAGGTAGTGGGTGTTGGTGGAGCTTTTCATGCAGCAGTGGAAGTAATGATGGTGTGGTATGGCTCCAGAGGAGGCGACCTGTTGTTGACCCTGTTGTCGTTGGGCGTAGGTATATGGCGTTGAATGGAGTTATGGTTACTGTCAGTATGGATGTGGTGTCTTTGCTGTCCCGCCGACCTCTAGTGAGCCAGGCTGAGCCGTAGTTCGGATGCTCCATTCTGGTAGGCTCCATCGGGACCTATCGAGAGTGTCTGCCAATACAGCGTTGTCGATTACCAGTCACAGAGGTCATTCAAATACTGGAAGAGTTGAAGGACGACTGGCCTGGTTCTTCCTACGATCTGCTCCATAGGAATTGTACTCATTTTTGTGAAGTTTTTCTAAGGAAGCTCATACCACACCAAGGTGAGAGTATCTCAAAATGCAGGGATGGACTGTGTAGGTTGCCTACTGCCACAGAAAGTGGTTACCATAGCTAGCCTTGCGGACCAGTGGATGCGGGGTACTCGGGCGCGTATGTATTGGGAGGCCTTTGGGCATCTGGGATGATAGGCTTGATCGATATGGAGGCCCCTCCTGAGAGGGTGACTATATCCACTGTGAATGAGGAGGAGATCATGCTTCGGGAGTGGAGGCAAATGTGGGATGCAGCTCTAAGACGCATGTGAGTTACTGTGGAATTCCCAGTGACACTATGACCAAGTCGTAGATGTTATTGATACGGTCACTTTTATGTGGTAGTGACGCAGTTGAATTGTCGCTGCATCAACAGGTTGAATTGGGCGTTTTTACCCGAGGTAAATCGACGGTCATCAGTAGTATCACTAGCGGGGTACCCTATGAGGATTTAGTCTCCTCTGGCTCAGTGCGGATTTGCCGATGGTGATGGCCCTTTAGGACCAACGTGGCATGGCAGTATGGTGATCGGCCGGCGATCGATGACGGTATCATACACTCTCGGATGGACTACCTAGCCGATGATTATCGCTTTGATAGGGAATGCAGATCAACATACGAACTGTAGGCATTGGATGAATCGTTGATGGGAAGCTGGGGTCTTTAGGGTCCAATAGCCTCAACTCCGATATAATAAATGGTATTCCTAACTTCCTATTCGATGTTATAACGTCTATTCACTTTAATATCTGGGCAGGACTGTATTGTCCTTGCATTGCTTGTCGCGAATACGCTAGATCATAGCTCGGCCATGTTAGATCTCGGTTGCCGCGCGATGACTCGATTAGGAATATGCGGACGGTGGGTACCTTCCGTATGCTGCACTATGTCGTCTGCCGTCAGTAGTCGTGTAAATGTACATACGTCTGCATGGGATCTATCATCATCGTGGGAGTACTGAATCCACTTAGATCAACGGCACTTATGAGCAGTGTTCGCTTCCCTCAGCTGACCCTAGGAGTTTCCTCACTAATTGTAGGAGTTTGTATACTAAGTAGGGTAGAAATGTACAGGAATCAGCCAGAATTTCCCAAAATTTCTCCAGAATTTCCATATTGTCACCAGCATAGGAGGTGACTTCTGTCCCTGCTCATCAGCTGTGCTACGAACTAGGGAATTGCGAGTTCCTCGACAATATAGTTGATGATGCGTATTTTCACACTACGGCTTTGACAAAATCTTTACGGTAGTGAAGTCGATGCTTTATCGTCTTAGGAGGGCGAGCGTGGTTCGTCTGGCCGCTGCTCAGTTTGCTCTCATGGACCAAAGAGCGCGTTGGAAGGATACACAACCTGTCCACCACTCGGGTTAGGTTTTGCATGATAGCATGATGTCACTTATCCTAGGGGGTTGGCTGTTGTGTTGTGGCGTGGTGTATGGTCGTTGGTGGTAGTAGTTGTAGTAGATGTAATTGCTGGTAATGGTGGTAGGAGGCAGCTTTATGAAGCCACCAGTGAGATATCCAGAGGTCCAGGAGGATGCTAGATCACCTAAAGATGCCGGCCTGATCTCGGTAAAGGGTGCCCACGGCGGTGGTGATGATAGCAGTTGTTGGTCTTCTTAGAGAGGTGACCTACGTCAAATAAGAGGGACATGGCGAACTATAAATCAAACATGTCTATTCGTGGGTTTGGTCATTGCCGCGTTGGTGTCTAGTGGTCTCTTTAGTATTCAGCGGATCGTCCGAGTAATTCTGGTCTACTCTCCTTCTATCAAGCATTGAACCAAAGCATACGGTGAGTACGGTAGACCTTCTCACTGAGCTTCGTTTTTCAGTCGTTGTAATGAAATTCTGGACGTATTTGTACCGGAGAAACCGATACAGGAATGTCACTCGAGCATTATGGCGGTAGGAGCTCTCATCCTTGTGGTGGTGACTACTGCTTAGGCCTTCAAACGATGCGAAGAGGAGGCCAATCTGACCTACCCTGAACGAGACGTTCGTGTTAAGAATGTATGATCTCAACGGTCGTGTACAATAGTACCCACATGAACTCGTTCAGCTGACCCAGTTCCGACCAGCGTTCACATCACGCGAAATGGAGGAGCGCATTCGAGAGAAGATCGAACGCGATCGCCTAGATGCTTTGGAGGAGGATAAATTTCTGCCTATCACCACATGATTATCTATTGCCCTTCTACAATTGTATGGGTATATTTGAACGCCTGTGCGATCGCTTCAAAGGCTTATCTGCATTGAGTTTCTCTTCTCCCCCTATTAAAAACACCGCTGTTGAAAACTTCACAACGTGCAACGCTTCGCTCCGCTGTAGTAGATTCTCGCTTGCCCGTTTTTTGGCGTCTCGTCTCTTTTTGGATGGCACCATCATCATCATCATCATCATCGTCTAGTCCGCCTGCTCATCCCGAGGCAGCATCGTCTTCATCGTCGAGGGAGAGTGTGGTCCGTGACATTGAAGCTGAACTTCGCATTATATGTGTCGAATCTCGAAAGAAATACAGTCAGATTAAGGAGCATTCAGAACGAGTGATCGCTAAGTTGATCGCGAGTGATGAAGTCCCTGTAGAGGAAGTCCTCGCAGTGGTGATAGTGGCTTCGGAAACCCACAACTCTCGATTGATCCTCCCCTGTCTTGGCTGCGTTCAAAGGCTCATTATGGGACAACTTGTGAACACTACTAAACGTCTCGCCACTGTGGTCACGTATTTGCACGACCGAGCCAATGACACTGACCCAACCGTTCAAGTGAAAGCACTGCAAACTATCCTATTGCTGTTGACACCTCCCTTTGCTCCTCTATTGACAAGCTCTGAGCTCCTAATGGAGCGACTGCTATCGTCGTGTGTTATTTTACTCGGTAGTGATTCGAGTCTTGTTCGGCACACTGCCGTTGCGTGTCTACGGCAAGTCGCTGATTTCCTTGTTGATGAAGCCGGTAAGGCTTATCATAGTTTGTCTAAAGAGGCCTTTGAGAACTTGGGGGGCCGCAGTAGTGGGCGTACCAAGGGCCATACTGGGTCGTTAATGGTAGAGGCAATGGCAGTACCCGATAGACTCCCTAGTGGTAATACTACGGCCCCTAGAGCAGCACACTACAGGTAAGAGCTCACATTGGTCATCAGGTCCACTACGACTACTGTTCCTCTTTGTCCACGACCTGTGTCTTATTTCAATGGGGAGGGCCTCAAGAGGGAAATGGTTGGGCGAGTTGGCCATATCGCGAACTCTCGCCCTAGAGCTTATCGAAAGTAGGCGTTTTGTTGAGTCCATGAATCACCATTACGAAAGACTATCAATGTGCAATCAAGGGCGATGGTTTTCCTACGCACGTTGTTTAAAAGGTGCCCTTGCTGCCCAAGCGGACATTTTCGCTTCCTTACCGGACTTCACAGAACTCGCTCGAGAAGTCCTCGTGCCCACAGTGGAAAGTACTATTGCTGTTTGCCAATATGATTTCAAAGTAAGACGAGGCTTCTCAACATACCACAATGACCACGCGCCACCAACAGGTTCTTATTCGTGCATTGAGAATCGTCTATCGACTCTGTTCATACCCGCCTCTTTGCTCACAACTGGCCCGCGAGATCTGTGGCGACCCTTCGCCATCGGGGGAAAAATTGGTCCACGGACCAGCTCGGGGCCTCGTACCGTTGATGCTGCGTCAACTACTGCTGCGACACGATCGTCCACTTTGGGCCAGATCGGCTGTTCTTGAGACCTTCAAGAAGATATTACAGTCCGATGACTCCTCCAATGGCTTCCTCACTGTCCTCTTCCTGGGCTCATCATCAGACAGTGCGTTCACTTCCTCACCGTTGGATGCCACTATGAACGACAGTGACAGCAGTCCAGCATCGGCCGCCCCAACAGGTCGCCGTGACCTCCCGACTGACCCCAAGTCCAATAGATTCGTCGAGCTTGTCAACAGCCTCAGTCATGTGCTACATCATCTATGGTTTGCATCAGTGCCAACCCCTCTTGATACCACCGACAGCAGGATGATGAAGATGTCCACTCTCCTCGAGGATGCTGACCTGTCCACACCCACCACTGGCAGTGACCTCCTCACTCTGGGAGTCTCCCATGTCTTTGCCGGTGAGGGCCGGGTGTCCCTACTCGACTGCCTGGCTGACTCGGACCCTCCTTCCTCTGTGAACCCGTCCTTTGGGGCGGCATTGGCGGCTGATACCATACTCCTCTTGGTGGACCACATCGAGTCTCGCGATATGCTAGCCTGTTCATGGGCTCCTCTACTATCATCACTCAGTCTTCTGCTTAGTGTACGCTTACCTAGGTCCAGGAGTCAGATGAGCGATGAAACTACTATGATGACTGATGACGACGAAGCGTTCGACATCTTCCTCCAGAGTGTCCTCAGTGCCCTTGAACGGTTACTTCTACAGTGTTCTAAATACCCCCAGCTCAGCAGTGGTCGGGACAGCTGCCTCGAGGCTTTGGCGAAGGAGTCCCTCCCTCGTAAAGATGCACTCAGGCTGGACTGTCACACCGCCACATGTGCTAAAGGCTTCCTCAACATCTGTCATAGAAGTGGTGAAAGGCTGTCGGTGCCGGGCTGGACTCTGGCTCTGAAGACCTTCGAGACCCTCTGCCTTCGATTCATCAGCCCAGAACAGCAGTCGAGTGCAGCGAACTCTGATAGTGGTCTCGAGTGCCAAATGCTCGCGGTGTCAATGGACTCGCTCTTCTCGACTTCTCCGGAAGCGGACGGGTCCTTCGTAGACATGGTAGATGCCCTGGTCCACAGAGACACTTGTTGGTCACTAGAAAGGCTAGCAATGGCATTAACATCAGCAGAGCCGAGGCGACTGGACTTGGTCCTGACTACTATCGTTACTCCTGCCCTCGAGACGAGTATTCATCCAGAGGAAGCCGCGGTCTGCATCGGCAAGGTCCTCGTCGGGCACATATCCAATCAAGGGTGCTGCGTTAAGGGTCTTATTGAGCCCCTCAAGGCCTTCACCACCTCTGCCCCTGAGACCGTCGTGTCCATCCTTAAGGACCTCATGGTACACTCTCCCGTTGCCACCAAGCTCGACACGGAGGGTTGGGTGTGCCTCAGTGAACTCGTCCGTGATCTCTGTGATGTGCCCACGGTCGTTGCAGCATCACAAGCTTCATCGATCGGTAAGCGATCGAGCCAGTTGATGGTGAACCAGCTGCACTTGTCGGTGTACTCCTTACTCGAAGTGCTGGTCATGGAATGCATAGACGTTCTACCCAACTCTAGCTTGGCCCTGCTCATTGACGGCCTCCAACGTCTCAGCACCAACAGTGTCATCAATACCTCCTTGAAGGCCTTGGGTCTACTCTGGAACGTCTCTGATGCGTTGATGAGCCGCATGTCCGGTGGTAGAGGAGGCGGGGTTTCTGACCACAGTCGTCGTCACTACAGCACTGGCAGCAGTACTGGTGATGGCAATCCTGCCAACGCTGAGCCTATCACTTTCGATCCCCAAGAGAGTGGTCGCCTCTGGTTCGATCTCCTCACTAAGTTCAAGAGTGCATCATTGGACCCGAGGCCGGCAGTGAGGCACTGTGCTATAAGGACTATGGTCTCGATGCTCAATGCTGCTTGCGGGTGCCCGGAGGTCCATGCCGCCTCTGCGGTTGGAGTCATGTGCGATACTCTCGCTGAGGTGGTCGCAGCTAGCACTACTGCCACTACCCTCAACGGCTCACAAGAAGACGACCGTTCCAACCGGGGGTCTTCGGAGGGTCTCATCGTACACCATTCAAGGGACTCTGTTCAGAAGCAATGGAGCGAGACCTGCGTCCTGGTCCTGGAGGGATCCGTCTCTATTGCTAGCAAGTACCACACTCTGATGACAGCTGAGGAGTTCGATACGCCTAGTCTCGCCATATTGGACTTCATTCAGCCCCGCCTGGCTGGTAGGGAGGGGGAGGTCCATGCGGCATGTGCCAACGCCTTGGTTGAGCTCCTCCGTCTGGGTGCTACTGATAAGGACACGAAACTGTGGTCCCGAGGATGGCAACTGGTAGCTTACATAGCGGACACTCTGGTGGAGGAGTCACTAACATCAGAGGAGCCTAGTGTGCTGCTGCCTCTCAACTTGGCAGAGCTTATCAAAGAGCCGCAGTCTCTGGCAGCCTTTCGTTGTGATGACGTCATCGTCCTTGCCTTGTTGGTCATGGCCACCGTAACTCGGCCTTCTACCTACCTCCAGTCGGCCCTCCCCTTCAAGGACGTATGGATTCCCACTATGCTATCGGACCCCACTAAGCGAGGGGCAGCAGCTTCAAGTGCAGGGAGGAACGGTGTGAGTGCTGGTCTTTGTGAGGTTGCTTCCCGAGGACGATGTGCCCAACTTCTCTGGGGTAAGACTGGTTCATCAGCGTCTTGGGAGGCTCGCTACCGACGCCTGCCTGAAGCCCTCAAGGGTCCTGTTGTCGAGGCTAGGGCCAGAGATGAGTCTTGCGATGAGTGTCACCAGCCGAGCTCGACGAAGGCCATATTGTTCTCGAGAACTGCCCAACGGTTACCACATAAATTTATGGAGCTCTGGTCGGTCCTGGACCTCGTGGCCACTAGTGACGTCCCTGAGGGCTCGTTGGAGGTACTGGTCCAGCTGCTATGTAATGCCTTCTTGGACCCCCAGTACTGCCTGAGGGACTCCCTTACGGCCGCTTTGGCCGTACGGGCCGGTAACACCTGTGAGATCATCGCCAGGAAACTGAGCCTCTCGAGCGAAGTTAAGTCGGTGGTCCTCGAGGCTACCACATCAGCAGCTATTGATCTCTTACGGACCTATTATGCGGGGGGCACCGGTGGTGGGCAGTCGTGGAAGGCCAGTGGCCTTTGGGAGCTGGCCGCCGAGATGGTCTCAACAAGCCTTGATGGACTCAGCTTCCAAGGAACTACTGCTGAGGAGTTACAGCCTTTCTGGTCGGATTGTGTCGAGGAGTTGTGCAAGAAGCTCCCCTCGGTCTTGCAGATCCATTATCGCTACTCTCACCAAAGGGCGGTATCGGGCCCTGTTGATGGTAATAGAGAGGCCGACTATAAGGCCGACTGGGCCACCGTCTCTGCTGTGGCGGTCCTCATCGCCCTATGCCGATCGAAGTTCGCGGACCCAACCAAGGTCGTGGAGCTCACGAGCAAACTGTGCGACACGAAAGCCCGTGGGGGTGGTGACCTTGGTCGCTGTGCCCTTCGCGTGCTCTTCGCGGTGGCCAGTCCCAGTGGCATGCTGTGGTCTTCAGAGGATATCAAGGCCACCTCCATCAAGGTGGCCGAGCGGTGGGTTGGTCATCGGTACACTACAGAGGGTCACTTGAATGCCACCACGCCCTCTAGTCCCACCGATTATGGGGCGCGTGACGCTGGCATGGAGATAAGCTCCCAGTTGCGTATGCTGGGCACGTCGGAACTCTGCAGGCGCATATGCTGTACTCTCTCACAGTACGCTGAGGACGAGCAGGCTACCACTGATGACCCTATGGCCCACCATCGAACCGAGCAAGTTCTCTTCGTTTTGGGCCGACTTTGTGATGTTGCTGATGAGCAGCTCCTTTTAGCGACTCTACCGGCCTTATCGAAGTTAGTGGCGACTACCAAGGACGAGCGAGTCCGTCGAGGAGTGCCTCGAGTGATGCTCACCTTGGGTGAAGTGATGGGGAGCAAGGCAGCGTATAAGCAACTTGTTGGTTCTGATTTTGTGTAATTGCTGATACCGTTTCGAATCTCGCGTAAGGGTTTTGTTCTCCGATTTTCCCTTCCTCATAAGTTGAGACAGCGTTAATACGTCGCGCTCAATGTCCCACCTTGGCGACAGCAATGGTGGTGGTGGCGGCTTCTCATCTGCTACTACACCGAGTATCGAGAACTACATGCATGGTTCGGATTGGAGGGGCAAGTGGCGTCAAGGAGGAGGGGGAGGGGTCCATATCGAACCGATGAAGACAGCTGAAAGACAGTCAGCCTTTTCCTATCAAGACGGTGGGTCCAGTATGGACCATGCACCCACTGAGAGGCCAGGCTCTGGAGGGCCTGTCATTGTCGATTGGCGGAAGACTGCAGCTTCTGGTACAACGCCACCGAAGAGGGCCAGACCATGGTCCTCCTCGGCTGCTGAACCTCAGTGGCACAGCAATCATGCTAAGGGTCATCATAATCATCATCATCAAGTTCCTTGGGGAGATGACTGGCAGGAACAGCAGCAACAGCACTCGGGCTGGCAGGAGGGAGGAGGAGAAGAATGGCAGGGTGACCGTCATTGGGAAGGGAGAGGAGGCCGTTGGTGGAACTGGGAGGCGGAACATGGTGATGGTCCTTGGCAGCCTGAGGCTTGGAATGATGGTCATAAGAGCTGGGATGATGGTCGTGGACCCTGGCAAGAGCCTGGTCATCAGGAGGGATCTACAGACCAGGGTGATGAGCCTATCCCGAGTGGCGACGACAAGACACAGCAGGACGTGGATCAGCAGGGCGAGCCGTCCACAAAGAAGGCTCGCAGTGCGTCTATGAACTCCGATGGTCAGCAGCCTGGCAGTACCATTTTCGTCAACGCCCTCCGCAAGCTCTTCCAGGCTAAGAATGCTGCTGCTGCCGCCAAGGCTCCTACCAAAACGTCCCCTCAAAGTAGTCCGACGGTCCGGGAGAAGGTCCAAGAGAAGCCCTTGGGTGGTGGTGCTCTGACTGCCCTGCTTGCCAAGCAGGCCGTGGGGCCCATCGCTAAGGCCGCCGCCACTCCCACCATCCCTTCTCCAGGTAAAGGCCGATCGTTAGTCCATCAGTACTGTTATTGACTCTTCTTTAGGTTCTCCCTCAAACGGTCAGAGTGATACCGAACTGCGTAAGAATGTCCTCACGAGGCTACTTTCAAGCGAGAATGCTGGAGAGCTCCTACAGGACCCCAAAGGTATCCTCTTCCGCTGTGGGGGTGGTCATAATTCTTGTATATTCAGTTGTTGAGATGCTCCTTCAAGTGGCATCACAGCTGAATGAAAATGGCCTGGCTGATCTACAGAAGTCGGTGGTGAAGATCATCACGAAACTCCAATCGGCGTCGTCCACTGCTCCTCCTCCTCCTGATGCTGCTGCTGCTACTTCGTCTTCTACTTTGTCGCCGGATCAGTTGGCTAAACGCGATGCTTGTGTTGAGCGTTTGAAGGCAATTCTTGAAGGGTTGCGGGGACTATTCCTCAAACGCCAAGAAGAGCGTATCAGTAAAGCGAGCGCGTCCGCGGCTGCTGCAGTTGTCGCAGCCACGGCCACAAAGCCTGGTGGCCTCACCTCGACTACATCAAGTCACAGTGCTTTGGCCAGTCTTCTATCGGGGGTGTCCGCCCAAAATGAACCGATATACGATCATAAGGTGTGGACGGGTTATGTCCAACGATCGGGGGTCAACAAGGCAAAGGTGAACCTCTTCGCAACTCTGCCAGTCAATTCGCTGCTCACTGCTCTGGTCGCACAACTCGGCAACGAGCTCAACTTGAAACTTCGCGTTCCTGACACTGAGGTACGCCAAGGAAGAGGAGGAGTCACCCGAGTCATTTCCGCTGAACTTTTTATCATCGTGTCAAGTGTGTGTAGTATAGCCAGTAAAAGTATCACCCCTCGATGATGTTTAGTAGTGTAGTGAAGACGAGTATAGTTTTTAGAGCGTTCTTGGACATTGAAGCACTTGATGATCCGCTATCACTTTCTCATGAGTAACTCTCGAGATCAATACGTTATGGGTAGGTATTGCATCAGCGGCAGAATCACACGGAAAGCTCAGCTCTGTTGCTCATGAAGGCCGACTCCGCAGCTGGTAGGCAATAACAGCACTACGCGCAACTACACTCACACAAACGACTGACGATCATCACCCACACTAGTCTCACTCTTCTCTCAGATCAAGCCGAGCTGAACGCCCAAATCGCCTATTTCAATGGGAGGAATCGATCAGGCGTAGCCAAGCTCGAACGTGACGGCGATCACTACGCCGCCTTCATGATTCCACCTGGGCCACTCGCTGAGAAGTAGTCGAGAGACCACATTCCGCGCATAATAATGACGATGTGTGTTTAGGTTAATTGGTACTGATAACTACAAGAGGTGCAATCCAGACGATATGGCAACGGTATGTATGATTACAAAATCTGATACCAATGCCTCCGCAGTCGCCCCTCATTGAGGGCAGTAGCAATGAGTAGTTCTCAGTTGTAGCATTCCCACTATACATTTGCCATCTGATCGGAAAGAGTATTTGTGTTGCTGGTCACAGTTTCAATGAAAGCCGAGTGCTGAGGGAGACGAAGGCCTTGGCGGCCCATTGGCGCTTCAGTGATGATTAGCAGCAGCGCCTCGGCCTGGTAGTTGACGATGTGTACTTGTGATCCTTCTCGGATGCCGTATGTCAAGTCCATGAGGTGATAGAACGACGCGACTACCGATGTCGGCAGCAACTCTAGTGAGAACATTGAGAAACTAGCCCTCCCTCCCAAGGTTCTGGCCACGGGGTTCTTAGATTGACAACTCGTTGCGATGGGTATACTTGGAAACGGTCATGTACGCAGCCCGGTATCCCTGGTTGGGACGGTATGATGATGGGCTTGTACCACAGTGATGACGATACTGATCCGTGTTGGTCATATCAACACCGTGGACGGCAACGAACTGTTGCTGCCTCTCTTCTCATTCTCTCGAGTATGACGCGTATACTGCAGTTGTTCATCCAGCTCTTCGTGTTGCTAGAGACCAATATGTTCTGGACCCCAATCATGGGCACACATTACTCCGATTGCACGCGCTCGATCTACCCCTCAATCTTCACCCTCTGTCCCTCCAAGCGCACACCTATGATGAGCACACACTCACAGATGGTCGCTCTCACACGTAATATGAGATTCGTAAGCTTTTCTCTCGGAGAATCTTTATATCTCGCCCGCCTTAATGTGTAACCGTGAGACGCCACTGAAACGCGCTAACTCGACTCGATCAATTGATGAAATACGCGTCGATGGTAATGACAAGATTCTTACGTTGAGAAAATCACTAATCACTTCTCTCGCTCCATGTGTACGCATGCCCGTAAAGACTCTAACGGACACTTTCCGAGTGTTGTCACACAAGTTTGGAGCCAAGGTACACGCATACTGTTCAACGATTTTCTATACACTTTCTCTTGTCGGAGTATGTGTTACTCCAATCTTCACCGGAGTTCTCTACATTTTGTCACTGCGGGTACCAAATTGTCGGACTGTTGATTCCCGGTTAACTTCCACTCAGTTTTTGTGTTGATAATATCCATGCTGGTCTATTCACGATTCTCTGTTGAACCAATTCTCTATGCTGCTGAGATGCGTGGTACTAACACAACTCATCTCATGAGTATAGACAGCTGACCTGATCAGTTCAGAGTAATGCGATCCAGTTAACGATGAAGTTTATCTTGGTTGGGCTGGTTTGTGCGCCTATTGAGGATAGATAGTTCCAATTATCCACAAGCGAGCATACGCAGAGACCACTCAGTTGTTTACTAAGCAGATCGAAAACTATCTGCGAATAATTTGATCGCTTCTCATCAGAACCATTAGAAGCCGTGGGCGGCAAAGCTAGAGGACGTCTACCTCATGGTTGACCCCACCCAGCTACAACGATATAGCGCACAAACAGAAATCACCAGCGAACTAAAGTAGACCCTTCAATGCAAAGAGGACTGGTTATAACAATGACAGTGAGTTATTGAGCCAAGAGCAATTACCTCCATGAACTGTCACAGACACGTCGCCCAATTCTCAAGTGATATTTTACTCAACATGATCAGTGAGCTTCCGAAACTCAATCCTTCGTCGTTATCATCATTAGTAGTATTTAGTAAAAGTAGTGATGGAGATAGTAACAAAGGCATGGGTGTCTAATGGTCCCTCACAATGATCATTCAGCAGCAACCCCACAACCGGTGGCAATGAATCGACGGAAACGATATATACTTCTTGGAATAGCACCAACTGCACAGCTAGTAGCCAACTTCACGACAGTTAATTCTTCTTCTCCTCCTCGGCACTCTCCGTCTTCTGTTCCTCTTGCTGCTGTTCGTTAGAGCCCTGCTGATACGCTTGGGAAGAGACCTAAAGAGAAATCACTCATTCAAGCTGTACATAAAAATGACCACAATGTACCTTCCAGGAGGCATCCTGCAGCTCCTTAGTCTTGTTCTTGATCTCATCAACATCATCCGTAGTCAGAGTGGACCTCACAGCCGCGATCTTTTGCTTCAAATCCTCGGCATCAGCATCGCTCATCTTGTCCTTCAGCTCACTGAGTTGCCTCTCCACAGAGTAGACGAGAGTCTCGGCGTCATTTTTAGCACCAACGGCCTGCTTGCGCTTCTCATCTTGCTCCTTCATGCTCTCAGCCTCGTTAACCTGATGACAACCGTCCGAAACAAACACCTACGTCAACACACAGTCTACCATCTTGTCGATATCAGCATCAGAGAGACCACCAGAGGACTGAATGGTGATATTCTGTTTCTTGCCGGTGGACTTGTCCATAGCGGACACATTGACAATACCATTGGCATCAATATCGAAAGTAACTTCGATTTGAGGCACCTAACGACAAATCGATCGAAAACTCAACCTGATAGAGAACCACCTACACCACGAGGAGCAGGGGGAATTCCAACCAAATCGAACTGACCAAGGAGCTTGTTGTCAGCAGCCATTTCTCGCTCGCCCTGGAAAACCTTGATACCGACCTAACAGGAGGAAAAAGTGAGGTCTTTTATCCAAGGGTAACAATAGCGATGGACTCACCTGAGTCTGGTTATCAGTGGCGGTAGAGAAGACCTGAGACTTCTTGGCAGGGATGGTCGTGTTACGGTTGATCAAACGAGTGAACACACCTCCAAGGGTCTCAATACCTGCAACACTCCTAACTCACCACTCCAGCATCTACGAAGGCTCACCAAGAGACAGAGGGGTAACATCCAATAGAAGGATGTCCTTCACATCTCCCTTGAGAACACCAGCTTGAATGGCAGCACCCATGGCCACAGCCTCATCCGGATTAACACCCTTATGAGGCTCCTTACCGTACAGCTTCTTCACTACCTAAAACCAATCCCAATCTACAAGAGCACACTAGTAATAGTATGCTACCTCAGACACCGCAGGCATACGAGTCATACCACCAACAAGGATGACTTCACTGAGCTCGTCCTTCTTAAGACCAGCATCTCTAAGGCAGGCCTCACAAGGGGCCTTGGTCTTGTTGAGGAGATCAGCAGTAAGACCCTCCAACTGAGCGCGGCTCAATGTCATCTGCAGATGCTTAGGGCCCGAGGCATCAGCTGTGATGAAGGGCAAGTTGATCTCAGTCTGAACCTTGCTGGAGAGCTCAATCTTGGCAGTCTCAGCGGCCTCCTTCAGCCTCTGCAGGGCCATACGGTCCTGCCCGAGATCGATGCCCTGCTGCTTCTTGAACTCAGCGATCAAGTGCTTGAGGATGACCCTATCGAAATCCTCGCCACCCAAAGAAGTATCACCGTTGGTGGCCTTCACCTCAAATACACCACCAGAGATCTCCAGAATGGAGATATCGAAGGTGCCTAATTACCACATAATTCCACCCCAATAGACGCAGTGGCTAAGCTTACCTCCACCGAGATCATAGACTGCGATGGTCTGACCTTCATTCTTATCACAGCCATAAGCAAGGGCAGCAGCAGTGGGCTCGTTGATGATACGAAGGACCTGTCGACAGGAGACACTCCACACGAACGGATGAACGAGGAGAGAATCCTCACATCAAGACCAGCAATTTTGCCGGCATCCTTGGTGGCCTGCCTCTGGGCATCATTGAAATACGCAGGGACGGTGATAACAGCTTGCTTAACGTCGCGGCCGAGGAAAGAGTCCGCAGTCTCCTTCATCTTCATCAGAACGAAAGCACCAATTTGGGAAGGAGAGAACCTGAGCAATATCAACAAAGACCATTCCGGAAAACCTCTCCCATGGGTGGGTATATCCTACTTCTCGTTGTTAGCCTCGAGCCACGCATCGCCGCTCGTGCTAGCAACAATCTTATAGGGCATTTGCTGCTTATCCTTCTGAGTCTCAGGATCGTTGTACCTTCACCACAAGTTGATGCCAGAGTCCACGACACACACACAGTAGACACTCACCGTCGGCCAATGAGACGCTTGGTGGCGAACAAGGTATTCTCGGGGTTGGTAACGGCCTGACGTTTAGCGGGCATGCCAACTAGCCTCTCGCCGTCCTTGGTGAAGGCAACTACTGATGGAGTTGTACGCATTCCTAAAACAAGCGGGATCAGCCCAACTCTATAATTTCCATGTGCTCACCCTCAGAGTTCTCGATCACACGAGCTTGAGAACCCTCCATCACTGCTACACAGGAGTTGGTAGTTCCCAAATCGATACCAACGATATCTCCAGTAGTCTTAGCGAACCGAATCGCACTCGTTGAGAGGAGCCTCATAGCCGAAGGACGGGCCAAGGCGATGCTAGGCGTGAGCTTAGAGAGCATAGTAGTGTTACTGTAGGGGGCTAAAAAGTCGTACAAGGGGATGGAGAGGACTGATCTTTGCTCAATGCTATATTTGCACGAAAGTTGCAAGAAACACAGCATATTTCGCTGCGCCCGGATGATCGATAGTAGTGACTTGGTAGGACAGCATCTCTGCTTACAAAGTGGACAACTGTGAGTTGAGCGGACAAACTAAATGACTGTATGTTATTGAACAACAGACATGCTACAGCAGTATGATAGAGTGTTAAGGGCGAACAAACGAGCGAGCGAAGTTGAGGGACAATTAAGAGGACTATTCGTGAGAACCTTATGAAGTGTATTATCTCCATTGCGTAGTTGTTTTCGACGAATTAGAACCATCAATTGTCGGAAGAACTTCTATGAATATCATCTCATCAGGCGGCCTCTTCCTCGTGCATCTCACAGAAGGTATTGAGCACTGGAGTCTGAATGGCCACGGAAATACCACTGTCTCGTCTCCTACTCGAATGACTCAAGTCTACGCTCGGGTGCATCCAGTGCTGGATCCTCGACGCCTAGCTAACCACTGTGGTAAACTCAACGCCGGTATCCCTTCCAGAAACCGGGCAAAAACAACCACACATGCACACGTGCCATATCAGGGCTCCTCTTTTTCTTCTCTTATCCCAGGCCTTAAGCGCCAGTCAGCGAGAGGTGACATCTTTACAGTGTACCCATTCTTCTCAGCCACTTTATGTCGGAGTCGGTGGACCCACCGAGACTCAGTCTAACAGTGACTCCATCACCGAGAACATAACCAAGAGCATCACCTTATCATTCACATAATGGAAGCCGTCATTGGCCTCATAGACTACTTTCTCGATCGGATCGACCACAGGGAAAAACAACGAACCAACATCCGTGAACTCGCGATCTGAATTGTCGCGCGCCATAAAATTCAGAATACGAATTGCTCACTACTCGGTGCTGTTCCCGTATAGAATCCCCACTGAGCATTCTCACTGGCATCAGGGGGATACAACTGGGGCTTCCCGATGAGCTCAGAAATGTCATAAATACTAAAAATCCACCATCACTTAGCGGAGCGAAGCACCACAATCACCACCTACTCTCGCCAACCACCTTCTATCCTTTCTCTCTTTGCTGCCTCTCGACTTGCCTGAGCACTACCGCGCACAATATGGTTGATGAAATTGACAAAAGACAGACTCATGGAATGAGCATTGTCAGTGTCATCCAGAAGCTCAGTAGCCAAAGGTGATACTAATGTTGCCAGGCTATAGACCAACCTCAGGGTAGGACCAAACAAGTTCAGATATACTACCGAATCCGATATGCATCAACAGTAGTGAGCTCATCCTCCCTGTCACCAGCACAAGCAGCTGATGCCTCTAGGAGTCCCTTGTACTCTAGAGGTGAGGAACGGGTCAGAAGGTAGACCAGCAACAGAGAGGCGAGCGTAGGGTGACGGGGCGGAGTGGATCTGTGGGTTATAACACTGTGCTATGAGAATTACACTCACCCTAGTGTGCTGAAAATCCTCGTGATACTTCCCTCCCTATCAGATTCAATAGCCGCGCCCAAGCAATGACCCAAAGACATGTGCCGCTCACGCTCCGTCGAATGGGATGATATCACCTACCCAAGGGCTCTCCATCTACTAGGTAATCCGAAACGAAGGGCCCGCCCCTCGAAATTTCTCAGCGCAAGAGAATATCAGACAAACTTCCAAGTTGAAATGTATGTTTGTTTCCCTTAATCATTATAGGAAATTACGCAGGAATTCGGGTAAAAGTGCACAGAAACCAATGCGCATTTCCCAAAGTTTGAAATTTTAAATTTCCTCAGAAATATTGTTACCGAAACACGTGGTTGACTATATATTTTCCCATACGGACAAACTCAGGCGCCATTTTGAAGTTGAATTAATTCCAGCTCGACAAGCCACGACGATATGTCCATTGGAAAGAGCTCTTCGAGAGCTCGAGAAAAAATTCACCTAGGCCTAGGCCTAGTAAAAATTCACGCACCTATTCACCTAGGCTGAGAAATTTCGAGGGCTGGGCCCTTGGTTTCGATCACCCTGTACAGCCCAGTAGCCCTTACCTTTTCCACCAGAGCAGTGAGGTCCTCATCGGGTATCCTGAAGCCCCGACCGGCAGCTAAATGCGCTGATAGAGGCGTCCCGTCCGACCCTACAGATGCCTCTCGGAAGTACTGTGCCCATTTAGACAGTACCTTCCCAGTTGCCCTGGGGGGTCGACCCGAGATCATAGAATGTGGATACACTTCCGAAAGTGGCTCGTACGTCTTGGTCGGTGTTGATAGTTACTGGAGAGCGCTCCACCGTGACGGCATCTGAGCGAGTTGAGCAGTAACGACTTCGCCAGCGATCCCGAAAGGTCATCCAATAAGAAGGGGTCCAGCTACCTAGGCGCTCGGAGTGTTCCATTGCTGCTGTTGCTGGTTCAGCACAGAAGTACCGCCACAGCCGGGCGGCAATCCCCCGTGCTACTACTCCCGATGTGAGGCTGACGTAATAGGGTGCGCACAGCATGAAGATGCATTTGCTAAGCAGTGCCTAGCCAAAAGAATACAATCACGCGCCACAAAATTACGCGCGCGCCTTGAAGTCCAATTTCCACGTGTAACGAGATGTTTCGAAGTTTTGAAGTACATCCTTCCGCGATTCTGATGTAGAAGCGGGAATCTTATCCACTCGTTCATCTAAGGGCTTACTTTCGTAGGTAAGGATTATACCTCCCTCCATCTGAACCATACAATAATCCCAATTTTCGCTGACTTAATAGTGATGTATAGGCACATTCCAATTCTTGGTCACTATGTCCTTGACGCTCTCAATATTCATGCTGCTACTTCCACTGACGCCAGCCTTGCGGCTCTTGGCTCAAGGAGAGGGCGTGGTTGACTTTGCACCTCTCCAGGCTGGTTCTCTTCCACCGCTACCCCCTAACGTCAAAGTTTTCCCATACGACGCTTCAACGGACACTTGCTTTGTGGTCAACCAGGAAGGTAGTTTTCTGTTAACCTTCCAGGCCAAGAATGAGACTTTTACGAAGATTGTTCATTGTGACAACATCAAATATTATTTGTAAGCAACCACGCGGTTTGTCGTGGATCTCTCAACGTTTTCTCTCAGTGAGAACCGGATCGCCACTGGCTGTGAAGTCAACGGAGTACTACACCAATTCGCCTCGAACATTCCGGACCCCATGGGAGTGTATGCCTTCTATGGAGTAGAGCCGACGGTGAATGAGGAGAATATATGCTCTCACGGAGCGAAACTCATATGGAGGCAACTACGCTACCAATGGAACGCTCACGCCTACAAGGATATATGCTTGGTGATGGCAAACTTGTTCAAGATTGTACCACAGTGTCGTGCAGGCCGTTGATGCTCATGGGGTCAACACTGCTGATACTACTGTCGCGTACATGTCGCATGATGTTGTTGTTATGCTTTTGATGTTGGATGTTGCAAAGCTATGCTTTGTGTGATTAGTTCGAGGTGCTGATCGACTGATCAACGGGATGTTAGTATTGCGACTCTCACTCTGATTAGCTCACTAGTGGAGTCTTCTTAATAGTCCCTCATAATAACCGCTCTTCTCACGAGGAGTGAAAGCCACCAATGGGATATTTGTTGTGTATTATTTCATCGCGATGGTTATCTTCAGACTGAAGACTGAAGACTTCAGTGCCACTAATTATCCTATCGCGTACTAGCGACTTGGTCAGCGAAGTTTTCATTTCTCGCTATTTCAGTGCTTTCATTATCTAGAATGACTCTCATGCTATTACTATCATATGAGAAGTGGAGTCCCCTTGTTGCAGTAGTTTCTTGACACTTCGAGTATCAGTTCGTTCGGAAGTTCTCCTAAAGCCGTTGTGTAATTGTCGGTTTACTCAAAAAATCTTCCCCTAATTATCATCGCCCATCTCAAGCCGTTGTTTATCGCTAGTTATATTATGCTTTCGTATACACTGGGAACGTTGTGAAAAAAACCGTGCCGATCAGAAGCGATACGCCTATTAATAACCCGACTATAACGACCTGATGGGAGGTTTCCCATTCTGGATGGAAAACCTCCAGAATGATAGAACAAGCTCGCACAAAATAGACCACAGCTGACAGAGTGCAGTGTTAAGGAGCGTATTTTTTTCTTAGGCAAATTCAAAAAATCGGTGTTTCTCGTTAACGAATGAGAGTTTTGAGCTGAAACTTTAACAGGATATACGGAACGGTTACTGATATATCATGGCGAGCGAAATAATCACCCCCGCGAACCGTGCAGATTCCTTAGGGCCTAAGGCTTAGGCAACACAACAGAACCACTGAGTTTTCTCTTGGAAATGATTCAAACTTCATGGTTCATGGTGAATTTGCCTAAGAAAAAAATACGCTCCTTAGAGCTCGTCGCTTTGATCGAGACGTGAAAGTTGGTGATATTATTGTATTGGTGATTCAAGCCAAATATTAATGCGACGAATTTCGTGGCATGCGTTTCGTCGTGGACACGCATGTGATTTGGTGGCTTCTCGCCGAGGCTCGTGGGTACGATTCACGGATGGATGAAATAAATCGCAAGTGTACGAAAAGTAATGGATGAGGTGTTTTGGAGGAAACGATCGTTATGAGAGCATGAATGGATGGAACGGCGTGGAAGGAAAGAATTGACCGAGAAGATCATAGATGAAATAGAGATGAACGAATAGAGCTGGACGAAAGTGACGTGGATGAGTTTAGGTGTACAAATACGCTCATTGACGAAACACTCGTAGACGGATGTTTCAAATTGGAAGTTTCAATAAGCCGCGCCGTGTAGCCTACACGGTGTAGGTCGTGGGTCCGAATCCTGGGTACGTAAATCAAAATGAGCCCTCAAAAACTGCTAGGAGCTTTGTTGAGGTTCAAGAAATGCTCCTAAAAGAAATCCGAAATTATGAAATCTGTTGAGGTTTTTGAGTCCCTTCTTTTAAGAGGTTCTCAAACCTTAGGAAGCTCTTCTTTAAAGTAGGCTCAACTTGAGCCGCTCAAGAGGAGTGAAAATCACCACTGGGATGTTTGTTTTGTACTCCTTTATCGCGATGTTTTTTATCGGCGTCACTAATCGTCTTATCGCCTACTAGCGATTTGCTCAGCGAGGTCCTCATTTCTCGTAGAGTCGTTCCCGCTATCTAGGGTGGCTCTTATGCTATCGGCCCTGCATTGAAGATGCTTACCATCACGTGGAAAGTGAGGGGAATCTTTCGTAGCAGTAGTTTTCCTGATTCAATGAATACCGTTCAAAATGGAAGTCTTCATAAAAGCGTTTTGTAATTATCAGTTCACTCGGAATTTCCTTATTACATTTCTCATTTTGAACCGTTGTTTATCGCTACTAGCGATTCGCTAGGTGTTTATCCGCTCGGTAAGTTGTGAAACATGCTAGCGTTTAATAGCGATAAGTCTGTTGAATACATCTGATAAAAGGGCTTTGCTTGGGAATGTCTATGTGGTTGATGAGGAAGATCCTCGTATTCCCTTCACCGTCCGATGACGGTGACAGGCATCTCCTTATCTCCTCTGATGAAGTTCGTGTTCAGTCCAGGGAGTTCCCTTCTCTGTTGAACAGTAACAATCGTCAGTGTACATGGTCACTTTATATTCAGAGAGTTCCTCAGCGAGTGCCGCGCCCTCACGATGGGAGTAAAAAGTGTATCAGCGGTTTGGCGTTTCCACTATGTTAGATCGGCCATTGATGGTGTACTCATACCGCGCCATTCCCAAATCCTCGGCATGATGGTTCCCCTTCGGGCATCGCTCTCCTCCCCCCAGCTCGAAGCGATGCCATCGGGATGAGTAAGTCTATAGTTGACCAATAGTTGACCGGTTCGAGATATAGGAATCCAGGCATTATTCATAGTGAGCACCTCCATCATTAGAAGCTTGGAGGTACCTGGATTTGCCTCCGCTGGAACGAGGTGGTCATGGTGTCTCTGATATTTTATTTTATCTTTCACTTGCCATGGTGGTCTGCGTTTTGATTTTATACTTGTTGCGTTTTCAAGTGGTGAGTAGGGTGTGCATCGCTACACGAGGAAACCGGGTTCAAGAAGTTATACCACACCATTGGTAACTCTTGATAGGTGCACCAAAGGATGGAATGTCGTTTCGTCGAAGAAGGCTTTCAGCATAGTTGAGTGAATTGTAGTTTTATATTTGTTTCACTGATTCCCAATGTTTCGCAAGCCCTTGGGACATACGAGAGAAACGAGGCTCGGGGGAAAAGATAAAAAGAAGGTGCTACTAGGGTAGCGGAAATCTTCATAGTGCGCAGGGGTGGAGTATCTTGTGGACTAATCGTGTTGTCCTGCTCAGCTTATCGCGGAGATCCTTGGGCAGTACCCAGAGGCATCTACCTCTTCCCTGTTGGGGACTGGGCCGGTCTCGGAGCTCTCCTTGGAAAGCAAGACCACTATCTATATCGTTGAGGGCAACATCCCCGTCCTGTTCAAACTGCATGGCTCGACCTTGCTATACCCTACAGTATTCGGGCTCAATCGTACACAGGGATTGACAACAGTCCGCTATATAGTAGGGAGAACGCTGTGTATAGGGAAGTGCTTGACAAGAGTGTATTCAGATATCAGAAAATGTGGTGCGGTTTCTAGCAAGAGGAGCTGACCTAATGCTACCTGGAGTGGTAGTATAGTCGCAACGTAATGATGATCACCATGTGAGTGTGCTTAGAATAGGGTGGAAAGCCAAGAGCCTTTCGATGCTGGTGTGGTATGTGCTGTTAGAGTTGATGATAATGGCCCTTACGTGGCTATCGGTAAGGACGTAGTTTTCATCAATAGTACACCAGTGCTTCCTATAGGGCGATCAGTGTTGAGCAGCACTCAGTTGAATGCGGCTGAGAGTGCTCCTATGGGAGTAGTCGGCAAGGCTGTTGAGGTGATGAGGGGGAAAACTTGAATACTTCTGTCTTAGTCTCGAGAGTAAGACTTTCCCTATCAAGTTGTTGCCTTAGGTCATCCACAGTGTTGGTGACCAAATCTTCCAAATGGGCCCTAAAGGGCGCTTGATGCCTCCTCCTGCTGAGGGCCAGCCGCCAGTAGAGAATAATCTGGGAGGAGAGGAGGCAGAAACTACCTCTCCTGAGGTGGGCTTTGTGATATGGCGATACCACTATGTTGGTTACTCGTATGCTAGGCACCGAGTGAGTGTCAGCAAACACCCGAAATTGTGATGACGGAGAGCGAGCCAATGAGTCTGGCACAATACGACGAGTTGGTTAGGTGAGCTCGTGTACGCATGTTGGGCCTATTCTGTATCTTACTGGAGCATCCTCAAGATACGCCGTTATTGAAGTGTTAGCCAACGCTGATAAGACTTCGCTACCTATACAGGCAGCTGTTCTCTATTCTGATGCGCAGAAATCTTGTGCGAATCTACGGAAGCGCCCGGAGCTCATCTCACGGTAGTGTCCACGGACAGTTTGCGAAAATATGCACATAATCAACTACAATACAAAAATTCTGAGGAAATTTGGGAAATTCCTGAGCTTAGCTGAGGAGGGCGAACATATATTCCTCCAACACTGACCAGGGAATCCCGCCTGGTCATTCTGGGGGGCAAGGATGCTGTTCTAGGTTGGAAGAGCTCGGGCCTGAGCTTAAAGACGAGTCGCAGATTCGGGTGGATATCAAGAGGACGAGTTGGCGGAAAGTTGGTAAGCTCTTGAAGGAGCTGGAAAAGGAGGGGATACTCAAAATGAAGGACAGGAGAGGTGGGGGATATAATTATGGTCAACTACGTGTGTTGGTGACTTTTTGAAAATTTTTGGAAAAATGCTGAGAAATTCTTAATCGTTCTCGTACACTTCTATCCGCATTCGCGTGTGAACCTGAATAACGAGTGAGGAAACTCCCGAGCTCAGCTAAGGAAAGGTAGCGCTTTTTCCTGAGCAGGTGATGTTATTATTACAAGCATCAGTCAAGGCAAGGAGGAGCTCCAAACACACGCCATTACAGCGAAAACGGCTAAGTCAGCTCCTCGAACTAAGCCGGCCACTTCAGTGGAAGGTAGAAGTAGTAGTGTGGAGTCGTTTTTATCAAGAGCTCTTTGAATTAGCATTGAAGTCCTCGATCGAGTCAGACCTACGAGTAAGAGTTATTAGCATGTACAAACCGCATCAAGTGTGGAAACCCGTTCTAGAGGTAGGAGCGTTTCAACTGAACTCACCAGATGTGGCAGTTTCCAGGCCTCTATGGGGAGGGTTCTGGGCAAGCACGACTTCCTAGATGCCAAGCAATGCAGATTCTATTTCCAGAAGTAAGTTTCCGAATCCACTTTCGAAACCAGGGGACATGTTCCTTTTTTCCGTTCTGGACACTTTATCACAAAAAAATGTCAAAAAAGTAATAAAATTCGTCACATGTAGAGCGTCTTAGATACATAAAGGGTCTAGAGAGTTCCCATGAGGAGGTTGTCGGTGCCTCGGGAAACCGATCGAGCATATGTGTTGATAATCTCATTGCGAGCGCCCTCAGTAAAGGAGGAAAGAAGTAAACAGTAGAAGGGCACTTTTAGTCGCCGTCAATCCGCGGCTTAGAATTCAGCCTGATACGATGCTTTCCAAGGCAGAAATTGGTAAAGCATTCGAGAGTAAAGGCCTGGAGCTCTACACTGCAATCATACCATCGGAGGGTGAGGGGGGAGGGCCGGTCTGGACTGGTCCTGTTGGGTCTACTCGTTGCTCTCAGGGGATGAGCTCTCATCAGCTGATGTTATCGACCTATTGAAATATGGGCCAGCGCCCAGGATCACTATCAGGGTCACTGATAAGGTGTCGGGCAACAAGGTGAAGATATATGTCGGGAAAATGTGCACTTGGTCAGCTGCATGTATTGGTGACAATATCAAAACTGTGAAGAATTTTTCACCGTTGTTGGTTTCTGAACATTTGAATTCGTGTGGAAACTTGTATATTCTGTGGGGGAAAATATGCACTTGTTGAAGTACATTTGTTGGTGACAATGTGGAAGTTCTGAGGAAATGTTTGAACATTATTGTTAGTTTTCGCACACTTTTATAAACTCCTCTGATTAGTGAGGAAACTCCTGATCTCAGCTGAGGAAAGAGAACATATATTCCTCCACCACTGTTGAAGAGCGATGTTGTTTCTTTAGACGTTAACCCTCATAGGGGGAGTTGATAAGTACCACCTGAAACTGTCCGAGTTTGCTAAGGCATTGGCTAAGCACAACGCTTCGAGTGCCGCAGTTCGAGACGACCCTGTTCTTGGTCCTAACACTGTGATGGTGAGTTGGCCAGGGGATGGTATGCAAAGAAGGAGTGCTTGGTCAGGTCCAAGGCAATGTAGCACAGTCTGTGATGCAGTTCCTGGTCGAGGCTGTTGGTGTCCCTCGAGATAGGGTGGAGATTATCGATCGAACAAGGCCTAATCGTCGAAAGCATTGATGAGATTCTTCAGAGTGTTTCTGACGATGATGTTAAGCAGTTGTTTTCACCCTTCGTCTTGTCTCTGGGCAGTGTTGATCGAATATATGTTCGCTTTCCTCAGCTGAGCTCAGGAGTTTCCTATACAGTGTTGGAGGAATATATGTCCGCTTCCCTCAGCTGAGCTCAGGAGTTTCCTATACAGTGTTGGAGGAATATATGTCCGCTTCCCTCAGCTGAGCTCAGGAGTTTCCTCACTAATTAAAGGGGTTTATATACAAATTTGAGTAGGAGTGTTCAGAAATCAACAGCAGTCTCCCGAAATTTTCTCAAATTTTGCATATTGTCATCGACACGTATAGTTGACCATGTGCATGAGCATAGTCTCACACTGTCTCTGGGTTTATTTTTCATTATTTTCCGGTAATTTACCGGGAAAAATGATGAAAATATCAACTAAAACTTTTTGGCAGAATAAGGATTTCAGAAATACTGTCTGTTGTTTCTGTGATATGCCCGACGACTCATCTGATTCCTCGACGATGTCCTCAACGGAGACCTCCTCGAATGGTGAATCGCTGCGGCCCATAACTTCATACCGCCATAAGCTGGTTCGAGACCTCCACTGGGTATGCAGTTCGCATCATCTGCTCTCTGAGGGCTCCAAGAGGGCCACTAACGTCCCCACTTGGGGAGCCTCTCAGTTGGACTTTGTCGTTCGAAGGTCTCAAGATTGGTTTGCGATGCTTGATGATGACCCTGAAGAGCTGAGGGAATATATACAGTCGCAGAAAACGTCACACAGACTCGGTCACTATTTTACCTGTCTACTGCAGTACTTGCTGGAACACAACCCTGTGGTCAACGCTAAGAACGTCTGGTGTCGACAGGGGGTCCTCAGCGATGAGAATCATGGTGAACTCACAAGCTTGAAATTCTTAGTAGTGCGCAACAAGACTTCCTATGATGATGACAACATCCCTGAGCGATTTCACCTGGAGGCTTCTATTCACTTCAGCGTGACCATGTCCCCTAAGGAGACCGACGTCTTGGCCACTCGCTTCAGCGGCCCTTTCCTGTACGAGAGTCTAGCATGGCGAATCGTAGAGACCCGTCGAAAGCTGTCGATTGCTGAGCATCCCATTGTCAAGCAGTGGTTGGACGAGAAGTGTGGTGGTGATGTGGAGCACATGTGGCTCCTTCGAGGGTGTGTCTTTTACTCTTGGAAAGTTTTCCGGAACTTATCGCGGTCCAAGACCCCCAAGTACGAGTTACTGGGCCAGGACCATCCCAAGGGCTGGTGGGTTCAACAGGACTCTGAAGAGGTCCTCGGGGACATTCTCAACTACTATGGCGACAATACCAAGTTTGCTATGATCACCCACAAACGGTACTGGATGTCCCCTAGCGTTGGCTCCGATGATGGCACTGAGTTGGTGGGAGATGAGACTATCGGCATTGAACCCGTCCCTTTGGTCGGTCTGGAGGGAATAATCAAGTCAATTCATGCCTTCACTGAGGCGAGCTCCAAGCGCCCTGTGATGGTAGCAGTATGTATGCCTGATGATGATAATGAGGGTAGATATGTTGAAGTCAGCCGTGGTTTCATCTTGCCTACAAAATGGGTGGTCGAAAGGGACGTATCGTCGTCCGAGTCAGAAGACTGTTGTCATGTTGAGACGAGGAGCTGTGCCGCATTCCAGGAGTCCCTGTATGAGATCTTGCGGAAGAGTGGTAGAGTAGACTCTATATTCGAGGCAGTGAAGGGCATTGACCTACAGGATGTTCGCATGTGTGATCAACCCAAGGCCCCGCCAAAGCTGAAGAAGCCTGAAGACCCTCTGATCGACTTGATCGACCGCAAGGACATCCAACAGTGGATTTGCTCGATTAGTGCCTGGCGTACTGCGTGTATTGCTCGACACCCCCCGAAGAAATCTGGTCGCGGTCTTGGTCGGGCTCAGTCGCAGAGACTGCGTACAGCGATAATGTTCGACCTCAACGAGTTGATGTGCGAGGAGGGTTCTCAAGCTGTGAGCGATATCGTGCTGAAACTGTGCTTGGAAGTGAACGATTTGGGTCAGGAGGAGGTCCATGCTATCCTAGAGGCTGTCGAGGGTCTGAGGAAACACGGATGGCGATGCACTACAGGACGAAGCCTTCTAGTCACTATCAACAAGTGTCTGGATGATGACTCTGTCTCTCCGATGGTCATTCAAAAAGTATGTCGGTGTTTTGATGTTGAACCCAGCAAGGTCTCTATTGAGAAAGCAGTGGAACGTTATGTTGCGGCTAGAGGTGAAGACACAGCTTACATTGCTGGGCTCAGACTGTTATGTCAACAATGTAACAGCGATGCTCATATGAAGGCTGCCCAAGAGAGGCCAGATCAAGCACAGTTGTGGAACCCTGTGAAAGGAGCGAATTTGCGTATAGCATCCCATCACAGTCCAACTCATTTGGAGCCAATCGTTCGGGGAGAAATGCCCTTAGTGACGTTATCATCGGAGGTTCCTGTCAAATGGGTGTCCTCTGAGATGGAGTTTGACGATTGTGTGAGGGATATATCACAGTACCGCACCATTGGCATTGACGTTGAGTGGAGCTCTGGGCCGGGGGCAGCCCTTTTCCAAGTCGCCTCGGAGGACACAGTGTATCTCATCGACATGTTGGTGCCCGAGATCAGGCAGTCGTCGACTCTCTTCTCAACGCTTCGTCGCGTCCGTAGGGTTCTTGGTTTCAGCATTTCTGCTGACTTAGAACGGATACCGCAGTTGAAGGAATGCGGTGTTATAGACGTCCAAGTAGACAAACGCGGGAGTCTCCAAAGGCACGTTGCTGGTCAGCTAGGGGCTTACCTAGACAAAACTGAGCAATGCAGTGAATGGGCTGACAGGCCTTTATCGGAGAGCCAGAAGAACTATGCTGCATTGGATGCATATACACTCCTCGCCCTAGACGCCCATATTCGGGGTGTACCTGATGATGGTGCCCTTGGGCCAAGCCTCTTTGATTGAGTACACTGTATGTATTGGTTTATGGTATCGTATTGTTTCTTCCTATGAGCTCAGTCGATACTTGTAAATTAGAAAAAGGAACACTATGGGAGTCGCACAGAAGAACTGTATTGGTACCCTGCAAGATGCCGATCTACATCATCAAAAGCTGACCATCCTCGCACAACCTCTTGAGAGTCTGAACGATTCCAACGAATAGTGTGTTATTCCTTTGAACGCTAAGGGGTTGACAGTACAAGTTTGATGGTGGACCAGCTGGGTCCTTCCGCTGTTGTCCGCTGCGACAGTGCTAGTGTCTCGGTCGGTGGACACATCCCTGTGATGAAGAGTGTATCCTGCGAAGAGGGTGTGAGACGGTATAGTCTGCTCCTTCTGCTCGCCGTGGCGATGTTTGTGCTAAATGAATAACGCAACCCAGAGCTCATCGAATGGCTAGCACATCGGCATCAAGGCCAAGCAAGCCGGCAGTGGACCTTGAACTGACACACACATTTCATTGACCAGATGTCACCATCTCGTCCGACGTCACCATTTTGTCGGGCGTCACCAGGAGACGCAAATTCCGTCACAGAATAACTCAAAGGTTACTGATAGGACACAACAACGCTAGGTCAGCCGTCCTCTGACATTCCGTTCTGGAAACTCTCCCAAGCTACTAGTTATTCACCCTATGCATCTCTCACATGGCGAAAAGTCTGAGCGAGAGCGGTGCCTGCCTAAGTGCATCGGATTTTCTATCATTGCCATGATGGGCTACGGACTTTTCAACTACTGTCTCGGGTACGTCTCGGATCGCCTAACCATAGTCATCTCGTATTCTCCCTCGCCCTAGGGGTCTTGATTGATCTCGCGGGCCCTTGTTACCCAAGACTGTGTTTGTAACTGAGTTTTCCACCGTTTGGCTCGGTCGGGTCTGTTCATGATCGACTACCGTAGTTACACTGGTGGCCTCATTAATCGTCAAGTTGAACCTGAGTATGTGCGGACAGCACAGTGGCAAATGTTGGTGATCATGTGGCTAGTCGCTGGCCTACCAGGTGAACTGAGAAACACTAGGAGTCTATCACATAGACTGTAGCTCTGGTTCCTAACGCCTCTGTGGACTTCTAATGGTCGTCTCCAATTTCGACGAAATTATTTCGTAATTTGATTTACTGCAGGTCTAGCATGTTACGTCTCTCACGGGGTTGTCTGCGGCCGCTTGGAGTTAATCTGGAGCAAGTCGCTTCGCAGTGGCCCTGTCACTACGATGACCAAGATTTTGGCTCTCTCTGGGGGATTCATCCTCGCGATGTCCTCTACTCTTGTTAATCAAGCTTTCACTCTGTCCCCTCCAGCTGACAAAGGTACGGCATCCCAGAGCCTTCTAGAGACCACCATTAAATACGTTCGCTAGCGGTTACCTGGCGTTATCACCCGCTTCAGGTCCTGTTGCTGCTATAGTTAGTTCAACAGTTGTTACTGTGAGTTTGTACGGCCACTTTGTCTTCCATGAACGACTCGATCGAGTTCACACAATCCTTCTAATGATGGTAATTCCAGTAGAGCCTCGTAGCGTGACGCTACCTCGGTGGTCTCTTATCGCTGATTATGCTCTCTTCAGGTGGTCGCAGGAATGACCATTTCAACTTTCGGAACCTACGTCGCGCTGGCTCCTGGCAATGCATCGTCTAGTGGCTCTCACTCTTTCATCGGACCACTGTTCGCGATATTGGCTATGATTGGTATATCAGCATTGACACTGCTGATGAGATACAACTCTATCGGTGAGATCGAGCCGCAGCTGTAAAGTAGCTCTCCTTTGTCAGGTAACGTCGCTACACGCAGTGGTTTTTCGGCTCTGCTACTGTCGCAGACCTGTGTTGCGATCTCCCTATGTATGGTTTTGATCGCTAGAGGCCAAACAACTTTGCGTGTTACTGGATTTGCTCTGGTCACTACCATGGTCGCGGGCCTCTCCCAGGTAGGGTACGATGTAGCAGCATGTTAGGAGTTGTCGTGTCAGTCGACTGGTATCTTCTTCATGAACGAAGCGTTGGCGTATCCAATGACCAGCTTGGTGAAAGTCATATGTTCGGCTAACCCTATAATTGTGTTGTTGTTGAACTTCTTTATCGATGGTTTAGTTCCGAGAGCCACACAATCGATCGGCATGGCTATCATCCTTATTGCTGTGTTCTTGAGTGCTCTCATACCTCCTAAAGGACTACAGCCCTCAAGCAAAGAGGACGTGATGAATTGTGGTCCTCGCGATCTGGCAAACTCCCTCCTCGCTGAGCGAGTGATGCTGGTTTGACTACAGCAAGGGTGTTACGACTTGTAACTTACGAGTAACGACGTCATGCTTACTTTCTAAACATCTTCTAGGGTCTGCTGTTATCTAGTTCGTGCTATGATATTCTCCACATATTAAACGCTTCTAATCGAGATGGGTTCCAGTCGAACTTGTCTCAATTTCATCCGTTGTTGCTTCTAACCATATCCTCAACCAATATGTTTCCATTTGACTGCCAACAAAAGTTTCATCACTTTCTGAGAATGTTGTAATTGTTATGTCTCCGGAGATCCGAAGCGGTTGAGTCAATACATAGTTTACCTTTCCTTACTGCAGCTTACGTACAACTAGAGGGTTCACAATCGATGAAAAGTCATACGAGAAAAGGCACTTGTAAACCCCAAGTCGGTTGAGGACATAGAAAGATGCTCCTTCGTATCGCATCCCATTGACACAGATCCATACGTTTTACAAATTCATCTATCGATCACTCATGAAGTGACTTCCCCAACCTGGAAAAATCAAGCTTAAGCCCAATCTTATTCACGCATACTACAATAAAAACTATGCGGTGAAAATGAAGGAGACTCCTGTTTCTTGTGGCAATGTTCTGGCTAACTGAAATAACGCTAAATTGAGTTGCTAGCACATCGCTCTCGAGCCTAAGATGGCGACGGTGTTGTATTTTTGACTCACATACACACACTATAGCCACATTCCGTCTTCACCGCGTACGAGTCTGCATAGGCCATGTGTTTTCATCCAGACTCAATATTTTCAATATAGTTACCCAAAACTCGACAACAAATATCAGTCCGGACAAGAAACCTCAAAATGTGAAAATAGCGTTTGAGCGGTTTCTTCATAGAACGGCTAGCTCCGACGTTCATGCCGTAACGAATAGCAGCTAGTCCAGGACATAACAAATCGTCGATGAGAAGTGAGGAATCCTGGGTCTGCTTTAGTCGCTAGAGAAATGATGATTACAGTAATAGTAGACCGCGAGCTGGAGCTCCCATGGTCTATACACGCTGACTCGACGTCTTAGAGCGAGTTATTATAAAAAATGATTATTGAGAAAAAACAATGTTAGACATACTCAGACTACAAATCCTTCAAAATGAAAACCATAATTAGACATGCTTAGAAATTATCAATTACACAAGACTGCTGCTATGATCTAACAAACTCTCTCGAGTAGAGAGGTTCTCCACTCGGAACGCCTCTTTCCTGCAATCAACCCCATCCTGTGGCATCGACGGTGGCAACAACGAACTTAAGATAACACCAGTGAGAAGAATAGACATACCAATCAATTGAGACAGGCATGGGAGCAAACCATCTATAGCAAGATTGAGAAAGAGCACAACTACGGACTGGGAGGAGGCAATCACGTTGACAAGACTCGTAGAAGGATACAGCAAAGCCGCGTTCAGAGCAAAAATCGCTAGCGCCTGAAAAATCCGACCATAACGAGGGACTACGCGGAGCGTATATTCAACTTATAACGCATTCACCCTCAACTAACGGAGAGATGACACGAAGGACACCCACCTGCGATAGACCAGCAATGACTGCCAAACCAATAACTTCATTGGGTAGGACTGTAGCAGGCAAATCCTGGTTATCATCACTCTTTGCTAACGCGAATCCAGCTACTAGAGCCATCACAGACAACACGCACTGTCTCGAAGCAAAGCCACTCCAGGTCGATACATTACCTGAAATGTGAACAGATACTACAACAGGGATACTTCATCCTATCTTACCTATGGCACTGTAGCGTATCAAAAGCGTTGTGCCCGACATAGAAAACATTGCCAATACCTGAGGGAGTCCTAGTACGATCGGCTACGAACACAGCCTATACTAAATGGATACTGATGAGATACGTGATGCTCTTACTGCGAATGCAAAGCCCAGTATATGGTCAGTATCCGCTACAGACGACTGTGGCGTGAAGATAGCGTTTTCTCTGTGGATGAACGTAGAAAAGGCATCGTATGGGTTGTAGTCAGTAGCCGCAACAGCAGATGTGACGATTTCGTCGCTACTCCCTGATCCTAGGGATGATATCACAACACCAACGAGAATCTGACAAACGCATTAAGAGAAGATCCAAGATACGGTCAAACTAGCAAGCCCACCATGACAATGAGAAAGACATGCTTCTTCGTGAGCAATTCGCCAAAAACGAAGTGCCCATACAAGCTAACAACGATGATTGCAGCTCCTGAGATTGCTGTCACGGGACCTACCACATTGAACGTCGCAGCATTCACACGAGACACCTGTTGTTGCTACTTACCTTTTTCAGCAGGGCTTGTGAAAACAAATGCTTTTTTCATCAGGGTCAGGGAGAGTCCCAACAAGATCCCTCCCAAGAGCGATAGCACTTTGGTCTTCACCGTAATCCCATCGTCTCGCCCAGCACTGTCACCACTCCAGAAGAATTCCACACGCTTGTTCTTGACCCAGTGATAGACATAACAGACCGCGCCTAAGAAAGTATTGTGGAAGTTACAGGACCACGAGAGGAGGCAGCCAGGAGTATTCACGTACCAGGAAGACTCGCTGAAAGCCAAATTATTGCCATCATTTTCCATTCAGCGCCGACCCAGTAATACTTCTCGATCGATCTTTCCAATATAGCAGTAGCCAATCTAATGTAATAAGCATTCTAATACGCATGTCGTATGGTTACTTACGCCATGACGTAGCTAGTAATACCGAAGCCCAACATGCTTAGCACAGAGTATGTTATGCACTTCTGGAGCCCATAGTCCCGCCGAGTGGCACTACCCGACATAAAATGACCGACAGTGATGTGGCAAACAAACTGGACCGATACTATGGACGATGGCACAAATTGGATTGCAACCGAGTTGCGTTCAAAGAAGTCGCGCTAGCTCGGGACACAGCTTTGTGCGTTGTTGAATTAGTAAGCAACCGGACAGGAATTCTCAGGAATGCTGATTAGAGACATTCAGCCAGATAATTGAGCCAAATACAGAGTCGAGGGGAAGAAGACACTGTAGACTATACAGAGTTACGGTATCTGCCTGCGACAGTCACTGTTCATATATAGAATGACACAATCATCGCGATCTCGTTTTCATAACGCTGAACGACAAGAGCTGGCCAGGAAAATGGCACGAACGAATATAGTGGTGCAAGCTAAAAGCGCGCAGAAATGTACACACCAGTATGCAGGAGCAGACGGTTGCATAGTCGGTGTGGACTAAGGAGAGCAGCTCTCTACTTGTTGAGGTCAGTCAGTTGAATATCGGGGGGGGGTGGTGCTTAACAAGTCTGTTTCAATTCGGCAGCTGAATAAGTGGATAATTTCACAGTAGCTTCAGAATTCCCACCTAGCTTGAGTGCATGCACCAGCTCCTAGGCAAGGTAATTCTCACGAGGTAGATCACTCTGTGCAGCATCTGTGCAGTAATTCCAAAGAAACTTTATCGCGAAATACCGCTCGAAATTCGGGCCGCCCTGGGAAACAGTGCGCAAAGTGGTTTCGTGCGCATTGTGACTTCCACGGCAGCCACTGCATCTACCTGCTCTCAAGCCTATAATTCTCGCCCAACACGATCCTACCACAAGGCGAACGCCACCTTATGGCCATGATGGGAAATCTGCTGGGCGACCCTCCGAAATGCAAGTTCGGAACTGGCAGGCTAGGATGAGTCTTCCACCACCATCATTGTTTCCTTCACATTCCGCATTGTCTTCAAGCGCGAAACCCAAGCGAACCGCAGAAAGGCATGTCAAATTCTCGTTGCCGGATGAAGACGTCAAAAGACAAATCGGTCTTTACTCGTCTTGGCCTGTGAAGGAGTTGATCCCACAGCGGCTCTATTTTACTGTGTTCGACGGTCCCCTTATCACTGATCCCACGGCGAGGAGGAAGCCTATACTACTGAACATAGATAACGAACTCGTCTATAACAGGTTTTACAAGGACTTCGGGCCGCTCAACTTGGCACAGATCACAACATACCTACTCGAAGTGAGGGGAGAAATCACTGTCTTGGTTCGATCTGTTTGGTGTTAGTTGAGATCTTTACTCGAAAGCGGCGCTCGTGAGGATAGACCAGTGGTACACTACTGCAGCAGTCACCCAGAGAAGCGTATTGATCGTGATGCGTTACTCAATGACTTGCTGCTTGATCAGGTCCGAATGCGGTCCTCCTAGTCTCTGCATATCTGATGTTTTTCCATAAGCTCTCTCCAGCAGAGGCACTGGACCGTGTTGAAAGTGGATACCCAAGCGTGATGCCTTTCAGAGATGCCTCGATAGGAGACTGCCCTTATCCCTGCACTGTGAGGAAAGCTGAGCCACCTCCTTGTCGAGTTACGATGGTCATTTTAGATTCTCGACTGCCTCTGCGGTCTACAGTACGCTTACCTGCTGGGTTGGTACGATCCATGCAGGTTCGATATCAATGAGTACAACTACTATGCCAGTCTCCAGAACGGCGATCTAAATTGGATAATACCAGGAAAAATATTGGCCTTTTCGAGCCCTCAAAATGAACGAAGGGATAATCGTGGTTTCCCGGCCCACATACCGGAGGATTTCCACGCCGTATTCAAGTCGATGGGTGTTGAACTCATCGTCAGATTGAACGATAAATTGTATGATCGGAATCGCTTCACTTCGGCAGGATTCGCCCACATGGACCTCTACTTCCCCGACGGGACTTGCCCATCACAATCCATAATGAGTTACTTCTTCAATGCTGTCGAGTCTATACCATCTGGTGTGATAGCTGTGCATTGTAAAGCGGGCTTGGGCCGTACTGGCTGCCTCATTGGTCTCTATGCTATGAAGCGATATGGGTTTCGAGCTCGAGCATGGATCGGTTGGAACAGAATCTGTCGCCCAGGATCTATTCTGGGCCATCAGCAACAGTTCTTATGTGATGTCGAGCATGGAATGCGAACTCCGCAGCTCAACAAGGTGCCGACGTTATTGACCACGATCGACCCTGATAGATATGAGGTGGATATAGGTCAAGGCGAGAGGCTTATGGCTGCTAAGCAGAAGACGGAAATGACGAGACTCGGTGCTAACAAGAACAGCATCAGTGCAATGCTGCGGCTGAGTGCTGGCTCATACTAGGCTCTTGCATGTCCGATTTGTTCCTACCACTCCTTCGGGAACCTGTCTGTGAATCATGTAGGAGATGGTTGTGAGATGGTTGTACATTGAAAGGAATGTGGTGTTTCTTTACAGTAGGGACGAGGTAACAGTCGCTCATACTTCGAAATGAAAACCTCTGTATCGAATATTGTACCAACCATTACTGGAAACGACACTCTGATGTTCCCTAAAAATGGCACGGGTGAGCAGGCCACGGTCACACTCCACCCTTTATCAAGAACGAGATCGACGTGGTAGTTATCAGTGAGTACAGACCCATAGTCGTATCGCCACATCTTCATACGCTGTTGTTATATCCGTACAGGATATAACAGACTAAAACACAAGCATACACCTGAGCACACCGCCAACACGAGTGGACAACATGATCCATGAATGCTATTCATAGTGGCATCATCAACTTGCTATTCCTTGCGATACTCAGCGAAGATCGTTTCCAAACTTCCTGAATGCACAACCGCACTATTCAAGATCTCACAGAGTTACGGTAGAAGATGTATCAGGCCATACTCGTCTCTTTCTTCATTCGAGGCTTTACGACCAGTTGAGTGAAGACGTAGAAGAAACTGTCCAGAGAGGCAAGTTCCTCCTCATCCCCATACACGGCAACGGCCTGAACAACGTAGTGTGGATGTCCTTTCTTTCCAACGCAAGATGCTAACCTCGGGCCAAAGCTTCTCGAACAGGATGTTCTTTGACTCGTTATCAGGTGCATACTTGGTTGGCAATACCAACTGCACGATCGAACTGAGGACGGGAACGAGGTTTGTCTGCGCGATTCATCGAGTAACGTCGACGATACCGCAATTCATCCTTGGATCTGCGCTGTAAGAACTGCTCATCTGTGACACCCATTGACTCGAATCTGAGGATGGGATACAAGTGTACTGTAGTGGTAAGAAGAGTTTCATATGCGTTAGCCAGGCGTGACACAGCTAATCTCAATTATTCTCTTCTGCAGTGGATTAGTTAGCTATGGGAGCGCCTTTTTTTCGTGAGGCGGATTATGATGGGTACCTCTGAGGATGCAGTAAGCTGTCACAACCAACCTCATCGCCATAGTTCTGTATGTCGGCTACGCTCCTTACTTTAGGCCTGAAACTCTTAATGGAAAGAGAAGAAACAGGAGATCATAAATACTAAGCCTTCTTAGCTTAGTTGGTAGAGCACCCGCTTAGTAAGCGGGAGGTCGTCGGTTCAACTCCGGCAGAAGGCTTTTTCACATTCACTATAACGCGTCTTCCGCTTACTTCGGAATATCAGTCCTGATGCTAGGGCGACCGAAATGACGGAGTTCGTCTGTGACGTTCCGCTTGCCACGTTTCATACATCTGATGCCGTTGCGACTCTCTCCAACGTTCATGCAGGACCTACTTTCCAAGGTCCGCATCGGGTAGAATTTCCTTTTCGTTAGAAGCGTTATAATGTATGCAGTCAGCTGCCGTGATATTGTCAGTGGAGCTAGCTTTTACAGTGCCTAGAAAGCAGAGCAGACCTCAGCGCAGTGTTGGAGTATATGTTTGGTTTCCTTAGCTAAGCTAAGGGTCACCCTCAACTGCATTATAGAAATATGTATCACATATTACTCAAAGTGGAAATGGTCGAAAAACGAACGAGAGTTTTTTCATCGTCATCGACAGATGAAGTCGGCCATGAGCAAATTTCCCCACACTGTCCCAGCTAGGGAGAGGCCATGCTGGCAGGAATTTACCAGAATCAGTAACGCTCAACGAACAGCGGAATTACGAAGCCACCGCGGGAGATACTCACCAGACTTAACGCCAAACACGAATCCTTCGGGCACAGGCAGCGGACCCTACAGGAAGACAGAAACACCACTCCGTCATAGCAGGGCTTCGCTCCTCCCACCTGCATGAGATTCTTTGTCTCACCAAGAGGTTCATTGAGAACCTCCCGCGCTGCCTCAGCCCGCAAGCCCACTATTCTAGTCTTCTCGTTCGCGGGGTTCCAACTGACAACAGAGCAACTGCCAAAAAGGACCAAAGAAATAGTGTACATCAAAGCCTGCTTCGCCCCTTCTCCAGCTGGCAGCTTAGCCTTCTCTGTCTTCCCAAATCGGAAGTAGGAATTCTCCGTCTCTTCCGGCCTACCACAAAACGAACATCTCAAGGAGTGTGCAGATTCCTTATTCACCATTCGTAGTCACGACTGATCATCTCCCCACACCGATAGTCGTTGTGAGTGAATCGGTATCTGACAGGACACAGGCTGCTACCAAACATGAGGAACCCGGCACGGAGGGATACACGGGATTCTAGTCATGACTGCTATCAACAATCATCATCTCCAGCAGCCTCGCCAGTCGTCGAAGCATCGCTACCTCTCCTGTACAGCAGGCGTCTCCTCTCTAGCAACATCAACGGGGAAGATACTCTCCTTGGCATTGAATTCCGAATCTGGGGGCTTGAAGCCAAAGCCTGCCAGAACAAGCTACGAACAGCGGACCAGAAACCCCCCGGAGGTCTCCAACCGAACGAACCAACAACGAGTATCCAGAAGCATCGAAAGCCAGTAGTATTCGATTGCTTATACTATGGTGGAATCAGCTCACCCTTGAACGAGATCGCCTTAGTGACTTCTGGCAACTCGTGTCCCCGTATATAGGCCTTCCCCAAAGGCTCCCGCTTGGTAGAGGCATACACTTGCTCAGCACACTCGTCCATGTAAGCTTCAACACCCACTCTCTCTTGGGCCTACCAATGCATGATACTACAGACACATACGTTATCTTTCACACTTCCTCGAATTCAATGAAATAACAATGAGTGATACAATGCAACATTAACAAGCACGGCCTCGCTTGACCCTTGAGATTAACTCTGCTCAGACCACGAAAAGAACTCCCTCACTTTCATAGTCTTCTCAGCGTTTTCTCCGGTAAGCGACTTGATGCCGTGAATGATATCCTTGGGGTCCGTCTCTCGTTCCAAATCGACCATTCCCCAATGTACATTCATCTTGCCAGGCTCGTAGTCTCTTCTGTACTTCTTTTCTTCTGGCCAGCAAAGGAGGCTCTCACAACAGTGGACGACTCGCCGACGCTACCAGTAGGAGTAGGAGCCGCCGGAAAGTACATGTCCGGCTGCAGGTCGCGCTCGACAGAATCATCGAAAACCGCAATACCTAGGGGCACGAGCTGACCAGCGAGTGCGGGGTTGGACCCTACTTTTCCCTGCTGGCCTCACCCCTCTTGTCAGCGGATCCGCCAGGATCTTGCCCTAGTACCACAAGACATTCGCCACCGACTACCCCGAAGAGCTCACCTCAGTGACCATGCGAGTGTAGTTATCCCCCACTGGTTTATCGAGCATAGGAGACAATGAGAATAGAAGCTGTGGCGGTTGCCAGTCTATTGTTACTCAGCTTTACTTATTCACACCTCATTAACAACAACGTACACGGTGAATGTCATTGGAAACACTTCAATGAGTATTAAACTACTGTCAGGAGTTGTCTCATCGCCTTACACGTCATGTTCGACGGTCACAGCTCTGGCCTGTTCTCCCAAGCAATTGATTGAATGAAGACTCGTTACCTTATCACTAAGGCCAACACCGTATCGAAAACAAGGATAGGTCAAAGCCAGAACTGTGCCGACTCAACTGGCCGCATGAATGCTGATCGAGACATTCTTTCGCTTCACTTATTGCTGTAAAAAGGTAGGAAGATGTTCAATCCAGAGAGTTCGTTTTTGGTATTACAACAGAATAGGCTGTATCACTTCTGAACAGTGTGGGAAAGTATGCACATGGTCAACTACATGCGTGGCCGACGATATGAAATTTTTGAGGAGGTTTCGGGGAACTCTCATTGGTTTCCATACATTTCTACCCCACTTCGTATAGGAACCCCTATAACAAGTGAGGAAAATTCCGAGCTCAGTTGAGGAAAGCGAACACATGTTCCAACACCGATTCCGAAACTGTTGATTTACTTGACGACGTCGTAGCACATTCCCATCGATCATGGGTGAAGTCCTAAGACGTTAGGTCTAATCAGTTGGTACTGTTCCTTGAGATCCCACCAATTGACCAACAGCACATAACGGGCAAGAAAAGCTGTCAGAAGAGCCTAAGGGTACACAATGATGCATAATACGGTTGAATACAAAATAGTGTCGAGCAATCACTCGAGGCCCTTGGATGGAGCCCGACTCCGATTGGTCGGTAGAGGTAATAGCATCGCTAGGAAGGTCGGAAGCCCTGATACAAAGTGAATAGCCTAGTGGCTAGCAAGATCAGAGGCCCTCACGAGTAGTCGCCGTCCCCTCCTTGAAAACTTCCTTTATGTTCTCTCGCCAACTTTGAGTGGGGCCGCTTATATTCTGCAACTGCTCGATTCCAGTTTGATTGTGACTGAACACCGATGCGAGTCGAACGATTTTCCCCACTTTTACATTATCGCCGAAGCTTGGTCGCAAAGCATGATGACGGTGAAAAGGCCGAAGACCAACGCGAAGAAGAAAGTCAACTGAGGAAAAATGAAAGAAAAACAACAAGTGAGTTATTACAATTCCAAAACCAATCAAGGGTCCGTCGATAATGCACACGTCGGTCGCCCTTTCCGTTTGGTCCGGTGGTCCGATTCTTCCCAAGGGCGGTATAAAATGCTCTTTATTGCGACAGTGATGCAATCGGGCTACGATGGTGAGAAACGACACGCCACAGAGCGCTGCCACATACTGAGAAAAGAGAGCGGTGTGGGAAATATGCACATAGTCAACTACATGTGTAGGTGACATTCGTGGAAATTTTGAGGAAATTCCCATTGGTTTCCGTACGCTTCACCCGAGTTTGTATGTAAACTCCTATAATTAGTGAGGAAACTTCTGTACTCAGCCGAGGAATACGAACATTCATTCCTACACTAAGAAGAGTTGGAAAATCGAGCTTGGAAAGTGACCGCCACCGACCAGTAGAAACAGCATGAAGTGTTTTTGGTTGCATTTTCCGACACAATTGTTAACCCAGGGACAATGATGGTCCATCTTCAGCACGCACCTTTTGCACGTGCCTGAATATAAAAGATTCCATGCCCCTAGGGGTCGACTCCAATGACCTACTGCAGTGATGTGCTCGTGGAGGTTTGGGGATGTTACATCGCTTACAATACCGTCGTTTAGGCGCCGTATTTCCGCTGGAACTGCTGCCGTCAGCCAGCGAACAGTGCTGGGGATCTCGACACGCCTGAGCATTGTCGTTGACATTCGACAATGTTTGTGTTGCTGGGCTTGTACTCGCCGAACGATGTCTGACGGAACGGCCTCGCGATACTATGGTAGAAATTAATCATTACTCTATGTCGCGTGAGCCCATCTCAATAACACCAGCACACTTGCCCGCCTCCAAGTCCTCCACTCCTTTATTATTCAGCGGCACCTGTGATAGACCCGAATCTTCTCCAATCAGCATCTTCCCGTAGCATCTTCCCCAATCGGGCCCAATCGCACGATGAGTGTATGTGGTGACAATTGGATTTCAAATTTTAGTATGAAGGATACCGCTACCATTCAGGATTCGCATAGTATATTCTGCGAGTGCCATTATTTCGACTTCGTATGCATTTGCGAGTTCGCGAAAGTAAGCAGTCGTAACACCGAAACAAGCTTACTACCGTTCCTGGGTCCGTCAGCATACACGCAACATGGGACCATATGGAGAGGACCTACAGTGAGGCCGAATCAAGCACCGAAGGATGGTTGAGATGATGCTCACGAAAATGAGGTTGAATATAGCGAATGCGACTGAAGGCCAATAACCCTCCC